ATATTTTATTTAAGGGTAATCCTACCGCGATCAAGGGGTGGAAAGACCGGTTCTTTTTTGTCTCCATCCCGGACGGCCTGATTCCGAGAAAGTGGAATGCATTTCCCTGCAAAACTCCCAATCCGATTCTCACTGAACAAATCTGCAAGGATGTCTTCGCGATAGAGAAGGACAAAATTTGTGATATCATAGGATATCTGACCCCTGATCAACTAATCAAGGCTGGGATAGGTACTGCCCGTTCTGTTGGGTTTACTTGTTTTACATAATCAAGTGCCATGGTCCGGGCAGTCCTTCCCGTGCGAGAAACGTTCCCTTCTTTTTTGTTTCCCATGTGATAAGGCCGCTCGGTACTAACATTTTCCTTTTGTTATTTTTCAGCTCCCAATCCAGACGCTCCAATGGATAACAGCTGTGTGCTAGCAGCCGGTGGGGTCGGGAAAAGGAAGAAAGCAAAAAAGAATCCCAAACCCAATCCTTCCACCACCACTGCTCAGGACGTCAGGTCTTCCCAACCCGTTCAGGAGCCACAACCACGTCAACAGGTCCCTCATCAGGATCAATTTGAAGCCATGCTGATCGACGATCGGTTCGGATCCGATCAGCTGCATCAATTCTCCGAGCATTTCCAGGCTGCTCAGGAGGCCGATCAGGGTACAGGTGATACGCATACCGTCCACCTATCTGGCCAGGTCGATCGGATCTCACTGGCAAATCCGGTTCACGAAGTTGTAGAGAAGGCTGGCTGTTCGGCAAGTCAGATCTGGTCCACCTCTGCATTCTTCAACAACTTCACTGTTCCCAAACTGCCCGTGAGCAGTCGGAGGAATGCTTGGCCTTAGCGGCCCTGAAGTTACTTTACTTTCTTAACCTTTGCAATAATTTATTACATATTGTTGACCTTTGCTCTACGTTATCTTATTTCTCCAACGTAATTCTGTAGGTTGGGCTATATAGCTTGCAACTGAGGGATGCCCGGCTGGCCAAAGAGCGGGAGTTGATTGTTGCTCAGACTTCCGCTGAGCAGAATGCTGCCGCTGCTCTTGCAGCGTTGGAGGCTGAACGGAAAGCCTTTGCTGAGGAGAGGCAGAAGTTTGATAATGAGGTGCGGGGGGGGGGCTTCGAGTCCAACTGGCCACTGCCCAGGCCAAAGTTTCTGCAGCTGAGGCCGTTCAGGTGAAGTTCGCAGAAGCAGCCCCCGTATCCCGGACGGCCCTGCTGAGGTGAATGTTGACCTGTCCGCCGTTCGGGAGACCTTCAAATCTTTTGAGGAGTTTACTGACCTTAAGAAGGATTATGCGCAGCAGGAGCTCCCGGCCATCTTTGGTGCTTACCTCGATCAATTCCCCAAGGGTGATGCTCGTCGTTCAGAAGGGGTGAAGCTGCTCGATCAGGATCCAAGGGGCAAGAAATTTAATGACTCCCTGGCCCAATCTCTCTATGTCATGGGCTGCAAGCATATTCTGGCCCCCTTAGTGGCCAAGCTTCAAGAGATGCTAGGGAGGCCGGTCGAGCTTGCCGATCTTCCCCAGGTGCCCATCGTTGAGGCCCAATTTGAGAAATACCAAAGGGACCTACAACGGGTCGCTGATCGTGAAGCGGGGAGAGAGCCTGACCCCCCTACTGATTCGGATGAGGAGGAAGGGGATGAAGAAGAGAACAAAGAGGCCTCTGGTCAGTAGATTTAGAATTTCATATTTTAGTAATTGTAATCCCTTCTCCCCTTCTCCTTTTTCTGATATGATCATTGTACTTCCCGGCCAGTAGAGTCGATGAATATATAAATCTTTTTTCTCTCAATGTTTTATTTATTGTCTTTCTTGCCTTTATTGATTCATTGCTTACCATTAGGGAATCGGTCCGTTTTATAGGACTTCGCAGTTTTTCTGACCTCATCTTTGATCATTTTTCCTATTGCCGTTCGGGCTTTTGATGATTTGCCAGGATTTTTGTTCCTGTCCTTTGGATTGCCGTCCGGGCTTCAGAAAGTTTTGAATTCTCGTTTCTGATACTCCATCTATCCCCCATAATTGTTATTAGACGCCCTATTTGGTTTGTTTGTTGCCCATATCCACAAAATGCGGATACCACCAACTCATTATCTTAGTTTCTACAAGTTGCTCACCTTCTGAATATTGCCCGGATCCTGTACTTTCCCCATTTCGCTGATCTTTATTTTTCGTTCTTCAAATACCACCCATTCAGGCTATCTAGCGACACTTGTTCAAGTACACGTGGTTTATATCGATCTTGATCGTTCGGGATACGTGTTGGATCACCATAAATGCACCTTATTTTTCCGCAACCACATTTTGCCACGTGTTCCTCATGGGTTAGGGTTTTGGGCGGCATTTTTTCTTATAAATAGAGATGCTTCTTCTTCACTTTTTCTGTTGCTTCCTTAATTTCCTCTAGCGTCTTGTTAAGCTTTCTCTCTCTAGAATTCTTAGGCCCTTTTTATGTTCTCTTCTAGCTCAGAATCTGAAGAAATGCCGCTAATTCGTAGTGGAAAAACTCCTGCTGTAAACAAGGCCGAAGGCTCTTCTTCCCAAGCCCCGATTTCCACTAATCTTCCTGTATCAAAAGATGTTGAACAGCCTCTTGATGACGGATGTCTCTCGGGAGATGACGTTAAGATATATAACAAGGGAATGCCCGAACGGCCACCACACATTGCTTTGCATTTCACTCGTATTCGTAAGCAAAAGCAACGTCTTCCTGAGGACGCCGAACGGCAACTTCGCCAACTTCTGCCTCCGCCTAGAGATTTTTATGCTGGATTCATCAGGCATCCTATGAGGCACCGACCGGGGCACGTTCTTGTGCACCTTGATGCCTTGATTGCTGGGCTTCGCTTTCCTCTACATCCGTTCGTTATGGAGTTTTTGCACCGGGTCTCCGTGCTTCCCGCTCAGTTCATACCCAGCACCTACCGCATTCTGTCTGGCTTCATAATCAGATGCCAGGAACTGAGGATCGCACCAAGTGTCGATCTATTCCTGCACCATTACTGCTATCAACCCTATTGGACTACTGGGTATCTGAAATTGGTGGCTCGAGCTGTCCGTCAGTTGTTCACGGATAACCCTACTCCACCGGCTGATTGGGAGGAACGGTTCCACTTCGTTCGTATAGGTGATTCACTCCCATTCCCTGATCGGTGGAACGATTATCCTGTTCGGGATTTTGAGCCCAAATTGGATGCCGTTCTTCGTTCTTAAGCTGAATCATTGCGTTTGGGAGGGTCTCGGAGCCTTCGGGGTTTTATTAACCCCTCCAAGATGTTGGCTGCTGGGATTGGTAAGTTCATTTACTTTATCCCGATCGATCTTCTTTCAATTTAGTTTCTTATCTCTTATTCCCTCTTTTGTAGGTGTGATATCACATATTCCCGTTCGGCGTTCCATATCTGTCGTCACTCCGATGCCTCCTCTGGAAAAGGCAAGGAGAAGATGGTTTCCGATCATGCGTCTGCTGAACAAACCCGGAAAAAACGCAGAGGGAATGATGGCAGCACACTGATCCCGGTCGATCACGTGGTTGATTTGACCGGTCCGGATGACAAGCTGAAAGGACCTGTCATTCCTGCCCAGTCCCAGACTTCAGTTCTTAACAACACACCGGTCGATGATCGGATGTTCGTGGAATTTTCCAATTTGGGGCCCCGAGCAGAGGGAAGGTACTTGTTTGGGCAGATGCCATCTTCCATGTGGTGCAGTACCTCTCTGAAGGTCCCACCCAGTTTTTCTACTCTGACCCATTGGTCTGACCTGGTCGAGGCAGGTCATCTGGAGACTCTCAAGGTACAGGCCACTCAACAATCCCTTTACCCTTGATTTAGTATATGTTATCTGATTTTATTTGTTACTGTTTGTAGGCCAGAGTATACTATCACCGGGCCTTCCTGGCTGCTGAGCACGGGATGAAGCGTATAGCCAGCGATCGAGAAGATAGTTAGGTTCTCCTTTCCTCCGCTCGGAAACTAGCTGCAGATCTGCAAGCTCGGGTTGATCAGGGTGAAAAAGCAAAGGCTGATCTGGCTGAGATGGAGGAGAGGGCCCGACGTCGTGATCGGGAAATTAGGGATCTCAGAGCCAAGGTAAAAGCGGCTGAATCCGCTGGGATGCGGTTCAAGAAATCAGAGGGAGAGAAGCCTCCCGAGCCTTATACTGCCAATGCTTCCAAGATCACTCAACAAGCCGTGATAGAATTTCAGCGGGGAAAGGGTTGAATGCCGCTCTGGAGAATACCGCTCGGCAGTTCTTGGGACCTCATCTTGGCAAATTCTTCCTCCTGGGCCGTTAGGGGAGGCGGTGGTGGAGTTCCCAAGTTTACAAACTCCCGATTCCCTTCCGGCGGAGTTGTTTTCTGATTCTGACGTCTCTGCCTGAATCGCGTATTGTCACGCTCTCCCAACTGGCGACCAACGGGCGTATCTCCTCTGGCCTGAGACCCGGTCAGGGTGCGGTCACTAGGAGTGTGATGCTTGCCCCTGGTCGCATGAGTTCTTCCGCGCTCTCCCCGGTGGGCTCGTGAGTGAGATTCGATGACGTGGTTGTTTCGGCATCGGAAGTATCATCATTGAATGATGGGGTTGTGTACCTAGTTTCCCCGGTGTAGCTGGACTATCCCCCATCCTGCTCATCTGCCATTTGTTGCATGAACTGAGCCAAATCTCGCATGACATGGGGGTTCCTTCTTAATGCTTCGGGGATGACGAAATCCCCGTCAAAGTGTGGGTAGGATCCACGGCTGGATTGCCCTTGGGGGGTCCGGCTTTCCCCGCGTCTTTCTGAGGTTCCTCCGGTGTGATGAGAAGTAATTGTGACCATTTTGAAAATAGTTTGTTGTTTGGTGTGAAACTTTTTGTTCAAGTTCCCACAGACGGCGCCAATGTTGAGTTTTAATCCCGTAGATCCGAAAGCCCAACACAAACTTTGGATATATAAGGAAATGGAACGATAATTCACGTGTATAAAAGAAATATAAAAAATGAGATCAACGAATACTCAAAAGCCCACTTGTACTAAGTAATTTGACTATTACACGGTAAACTATACAAGAAATCCGAGAGATAATGCTATTCTAGGCTTGAGTATCAAAATGCTAACCCTTTACAATGAAACTAATCCTTCTATTTATACTAATGGGGGGTATGGGGTACTTCATGTTGATTGGTTGCTTTATCTAGCCACTTGGAACCCATGCTCCCACTAGCTGCCGACATACTTTAGCCATAAATGCTCTCTGCCACTTGTTGGCTACCGGCTGCCCGAACGGATAGTGGACCCTGTTGGAATCTTCGTTGATCTAGCCCAAGTACACTGGTTGACCCGAACCCCGTTCGGTACATTGATCTGGAGTCATTTATTGATCTGGCCCATTAATGATTTGGCCCAAGTATGGTAATTGATCCGAACCTCGTTCGGTACATATTTTCCCAAAAGCTGGTTCATTTTCTGGATGATGAGCCCGCCTAACGAACTGGATATCTCGGGCCTTGGATCCAGGTACTGGGCCTGCGGCCCAATATCCCAACAACATGTGTGTCAGTGTGTGTGTGTGAGGAATGTAGCAAAAGATGAGATAACAATAAGAAAATGATCTTTAATTGTAAAGCTCAGAATCTCAGATACGTAAACATAGTTTAACTTGAAAGTAACAGACTAACAGTTATTTCATTAAGGCATGATTCTTCGAGCTTTAATAATAAAGCTCAGAGTTGGATGACCTCGGAGTTGGGACAGCAATCAAAGGAGTCTTCTTCCTAGTGACTATTCCGAACCCATCCGACAAATCCAGCTTTTCCCCTTCAGAAAGCCGCCAGTTGAAGGAATGCAACAACGAGGCCAAAATGTACAGCAACATTTTCTCAGCCAGGGGAATCCCAGCACAGATTCTCCTTCCCGACCCAAACGGAAGAAACCGATAATCATTCCCAGTGTAATCCAAGCCTGGACAGAGGAACCTTTCAGGCATGAACTTCAACGGATTGTCCCAAAGCTGAGGATCTCTGTGCAGGGCATACGTATTCAGAAAGACCCTAGTGCCCTTTGGGATTGTGTAGCCGCCCACTTGTGAAGTTGCGGTTGGACACCTGGGGACGAGGAGTGGGAGCGGAGGATGCAGACGCAAAGTTTCCTTCACAACAGCATCCAAGTAGGTAAGCTTGGGTAAATGGAGTTCTTCCACAGTAGAGTTCATTCCAACTATCTGCTCCAACTCATTTTGGACCTGTTTCATGACCTCTAGATCGTCAAGAAGCATTGCCATGACCCACTCCACTGTCGTTGCAGTTGTGTCTGTCCCCCCTATCACTATATCCTAAAAACAAAAATGCAATTAGGCTAGGAGGTAGGAAACAACTTTCAAACCAAGAAATTTTAAGGTAAGGAAAGAGTATATATACACCCGTATACTCCATGCCCCCCATCCCCTCCCCCAGACCCCCTAGAGTAAAAAAAACTCCGTATTTTTATAACCATGTGTTTAAGTGTCTTAAGGAAGTTCATCCCAATCATCATCATCATTACCCCAGTGCAAGTGGCGCAAAGGCTCCCATCTATGATATGGTAAGGGGGTTGGATGTATGCAGTCTTACTCAGGTCCGGCCATGGATAAGGTGATGGTATAAAATTGTTATTGTTTATGTTTGCAATTTTAACTAGTTTTATTTTTTGTTGTTTGGGAAATTACACACTTTTGGTGTAATACTTTACTTTTCCTAGTTGCTTGTAATTTGTATAGATTAGGGATTTTCTGAGCTTAAACTAGGTAAAGATCGTCAAAAGAATCCTGGAAAGGTCAAGGAAAGTGCAAGGGAACAAGAGAAAGTGAAAATTTGGGAAAATAGTCAAAAACCCGGTCGGGTAAAGCAAAAACCCGATCAGGTTTGACTTGACCCGAAGATCAAATCTGATTTGGAGGCAATTAAACGTGCATGGTGACGATTTGACAAAGATTTGTCTTTTACCCGATCGGGTAAATCAAAAACCCGATCGGGTAAATGTGACTAATGAAAATTCCAGGCAATTACTCAGGAAACCCGATCGGGTAAATGACCCTGCCACCTCAAAACATCTATAAATACACCCCTTTTCCTTCCCATTTGGACACCAATTCATGACTTATACTTCTAAGCTCAGTTTAGACAAATTCTTTCTTTATATTTTCATCATGTTTAATCTCTAAATGAGGAGCTAAACTCTTTCATCTTGATTTTGCTACTTTGAAGCTTAATGGATTGTAAGTTGTGAGTTATTTTTCTTTAATCTTCTTCCTTGAATATTTCCGTTAATTTATCTCTATATAAATGTTGGGGAGTGTTGCTAATATGACAATTAGTTAACATCTCGACATTAATTATAGTAGAATTTATTTTCGTTAATCTTCTTCCTTGAATATTAATTAATTCCTATTCATATTTCATATTAATATTTTGACCATTATTTAAAGGATCAACTAGTTTGTTTCATATATTAATTATTACTAGAATCAATCGATTAATGCGCTTGTTATTAATTCGGTTCTTTCAACGGTAGTAAACTTGGATTATTAATGCATGCGTCTCATGGTTAATAATCTAAGAGGAATTAATTATATTGATTAAACCAATAAATCGCTTGTGTTGAGGTTATCAATCTCAATCGTTTTCATCTTAAGTTTATTGCTACTATCGGGTTAATATACGACGCGTGTTCTATATTGACTCGGTAGTAAGTTTTATTTGTTGGAAAATATTCCATTTAAATGCCCTTGGACCATTTATATAATTTAATACTCACTCCGTCCTGTTGGAATGTTCCCATTCACTATTCATTGGTCAACTTAGGTCACTCCTAATCTTTTACTTTATATATCAAATTTTTATCAAATTGAACTTTTCTTGATCAGACTTTGTAGCGGGTTTAATGTAGTTTCTGAATATGTAAATTTTATTTACAAAAAATAAGCGGAGTGTGAACAGGGATCGAGTTGATTTATCGTCAGTCAAATATCGTAAACCGAACGGGAACATTCCAACGGGACAGAGGGAGTATATATTGGGGACATTTATGTCTTACCATTAAGTTTGCCATATGACAGATTTGGTCCTTGTATTTATGCATAGTTAACATATGATGTGTATGTTTTAACATTAAATAATACACAAGGGACCAAATGGGTTTCTCTTTGATACAAAATATAAAAGGCATCCGCCCATTTAATTCTTACGACAAAACGAACGGACACGTTCATTCCTAAGGGTCTCAAGAACACCTATAATAAGAGGCCCAAGGGAGAACCGTTCAATCCATCAAAAATCAGTTTTGTATCCTTAGAAAATCTAAACATCATGGCTTCATCATCTTCTACGGCACCATCAACGTTCGGTTTCTCCTCAACCGGTTAGTGTTCTTATTGTTTGATTTTATGAATTTTATTTATCATGTTTAGTGAGAATAGATCCTATTTGGGACTGAAATTCTCAACATTTGGTATCCGAGCCCGTTGATTGTCACTTACATTGATAAAGTTTGAAGTTTGAATTTGCCTAAATGATTTATTAGTTTTGCCAATTATATTTTTATCATGGGATAAACGGTGTTTAAGTATTCTGGATGTCATGTCGTTTCTTCCGGATTTTGAACCGACTGTTTTGAGTTTAATGAGTTGTTCTCTGTCGATGCCTCAACCGGAGTATGTTATTCTGGTGTTTTTATATAAGAGAGAATTCTTTAAATAGGAGTAAAAAAGTTTTGAAATTCCAAAATAAGAGTATCATATTTTTTATTCCTTGAATAGGAGTAAATTTCTACCAAGTTTGGCATTACTGGGCTTTAAAACATGGCACTGTTTTCCAAACTTGACAGATTACTCCTATTCAGGGAATAAAAAACATGATACTCCTATTTTAGAATTTCAAAACGTTTTTGCTCCTATTTAGAGCAATTTTTATTTATATAAACAGTACCGATACCACTCGGAGTTATTCACATTTGAATATATGGTTCTCCTTATACATATTAAATGTGATGTATTTGAATATGTGTTAAATTTCAGTATGTATAAATGTTTTAAGTGGTGCCGCCACCTAATAATTACTACCTCCGTCTCAAAAAACTTTGTCATTTTCAAAACTTTGACCGACTATATTTTTTATTGAAAATTATTTATAAAAAGTTATATGAAAATGTTCTTTGTTAAAAGTACTTTCATAAAAGTATAAAATTTATAATTTCCATAATATTATACTAGTCAAAATCAATGTTCAAATTTTTTGAAATGACAGAGTTTTTTGGGACGGAGGTAGTATGATTATCATTCATGTATGATCACTTTATCCACATTAAAGTGATATATATTAGTGTGTTGCCGTGTGTTAATTTCGTGATGTATATGTGGATTAAGTGCAGATTGTTTGCCATTGTCGCAAGTTGTTTGCTTTAAAACTGATTAAAAAAAAACTAAATGTCAATTTATATTGCAACTGCAAATTTGTTTAAAACTGAAATTCACTTTTGATTTGAATCAGTTTGTTTGCTTTTGGTGATTTAAAATAAAACTATGTTGATCAGTTTGCTTTTCAGAATCTGAAAAACATTTGTTTTGTTTTGGATCCGCCATTTTTCCAAATTGTACCGTATCGTTCATATATACAATCTGCAATTTTGTTATTTATGAAAATTTGCAAGCCATGAGTTTGTTTTAGGAACAGCCACCTTAGTTATCGTTTGTTCTTACTTTATTCTAGTGCAAACTGGAATCAATCAAATCGGATAGTACAACGTATTACTACTGCATGTCAGAAACTTTGTTTATGAACATATATGCAACTGGAAGTGGGTGGTTGTAACTTGTAAGATTAACAACACGGTTTCAATATTATTCCATATTCAAAGTTATAGTATGAATTATTAACTAATTATCTAAGTGTCAAATTCAATAACCGGCCCAACGCAAGATTATTGTTTTTGACTATCTTAACCAATTATATGAGTTTTTCTTTCAATAAACCCAAAGGTGTGTTGTTTGATAATTTGTATAATGAAATTCTAAGCGTAATCAAGTGTGTTATATTTCTGCCCAAAGGTGATATGTGACACAATTTGGAGCCTAATTTTAATTTTAATATCATAATGTTTGATAGTTAGCATTAGAACCTCTGAATGGTACAAACTTTTCAACATGGAGAGAATGTGTAAAACTCTCACTTGGCATGATGGACCTCAACCAAACGCTGAGAATTGATCCACCGAATGCTCCTAACGCTGAGAGCACTGTGGAACAGAAACGTTCTTATGAACAGTGGGAGAGGTCCAACCGAATGTGCCTCATGGTGATCAAGAATTCCATATCTGTGGCTATTCGCGGAGCCATTCCTGATTCCGAGAACGCGAAAACCTACCTAGAATATGTGGAAGAACAGTTTAAGGGCACCTCTAAAGCACATGCTAGTACCCTGATTCTCAAAATGTTGACTAGTAAGTATGATAGAGTGAGTGGTATTCGTGAGCACATTATGAAAATGTCTGATATGTCCAATAAGCTCTAGAGATCAGTGAAGGTTTCCTAGTTCATTTCATAATGACTTCTCTGCCTGCATCTAATGGCCCGTTCAAGATCAATTACAACACGCAGAAAGAGAAGTGAACAATGAGCGAGTTGATTGTTATGTGTGTTCAAGAAGAAGAGCGCCTAAAAGCTGAAAACCCAGATGTTGCTCATCTCACCATCACAAACTCAAAGAAAAGGAAATGTAATCGTCAAGGAGGAAAAGGTGACATTTCTAAGGTCCCAAAGATAGGTGCAAGTGTGAGCTCCGGTCCCTACTGTAAGTTTTTCCATTTCAAAGGGCATTACCAGAGGGGGGTGTCCTAAGTTTAAGGCATGACTGACTAAGAACAGTAACTTAACCACTTATGTAATCTATGAGTCATTGAACACATCAGTTCCCCTTAATACTTGGTGGATTGACTCTGGTTCAATGGTTCATGTTTCAAACAGACTGCAAGGATTCCATTCAATCCGGACATTGGGAAGAAAGCAAAGAGTGATTAAGGTGGACAACGGAGAAGAATTAGAAGTGGAAGCCATTGGAACTATCTCATTAATTTTAGAGAGAGTAATTTTAGGTACATAAAGAGCATCACGAAGATGAAGAATGAAGCCAATCTCATTAATTTTAGAGAGTGGCTTCATTCTTCATCGTTGTGATGCTCTTTATGTACCTAAAATTACTCGTAATTTAGTGTCTGTATTGAAACTAAGTGCTGATGGTTTTACATTTAATTTCGTATACAATAAAGTGACATTAAGCTTAAACTCAAATGTAATAGGATTTGGTAGCATGAAGGGAAACCTCTATAAATTATGCTTAGATACTGATTTTATGGAATCCCCATTGTCATTTAATATAACTGAAAATCCTTGCAAGAGAAAGAGAGAATTGGAATCGTCATCCAATTTGTGGCATCAAAGGTTGGGCCACATATCACGAGATCGAATGATAAGACTCGTGAAACACGACATTCTTCCAAATCTCGATTTCTCAGATTATGACAAATGTGTGAAGTGTTTGAAAGGGAAATTGTCTAAGAAAACTAAGAAAGGTGCCACACGAAGCACCGGTTTGTTAGAATTAATACACACCGATATTTGTGGGCCTTTTCCCGATTCCATTAGTGGTCATAAGTTCTTTATTACTTTCATTTGGCTTATATTAATCCTTATACTCTTTAAGAAGTGTCAAAGTATGATTAATGGGGTCCCGAGTTATATTGAATCGTTAGACTGTATTTGTTGGCTTTGATATTATTATGGAGTAAGATGAATCTATATTGGCCAACACTTATTTTAGCTTATGTTTAAATGATCTCAAGGTCAAGTGGGAGAATGTTGGAAAATATTCCATTTAAATGCCCTTGGACCATTTATATAATTTGATATATATTGGGGACATTTATGTCTTACCATTAAGTTTGCCATATGACAGATTTGGTCCTTGTATTTATGCATAGTTAACATATGATGAGTATGTTTTAACATTAAATAATACATAAGGGATCAAATGAGTTTCTCTTTGATACAAAATATAAAAGGCATCCGCCCATTTAATTCTTACGACAAAACGAACGAACACGTTCATTTCTAAGGGTCTCAAGAACACCTATTATAAGAGGGCCAAGGGAGAACCGTTCAATCCATCAAAAATCAGTTTTGTATCCTTAGAAAATCTAAACGTCACGGCTTCATCATCCTCTACGACACCATCAACGTTCGGTTTCTCCTCAACCGGTTAGTGTTCTTATTGTTTTATTTTATGAATTTTATCATGTTTAGTGAGATTAGATCCTATTTGGGACTGAATTTCTCAACATTATTAATGAACGCGTCTCGTTATTAATAACTACACTCGACGAATTGAATATACTCCTCGATTGAGTATTCGAGAGGAAGATAGTTAAACATATAACCGGGATCGACGAACATTTCATTAAGTGGATAAAAGCAAAACCAAGTCCTCATCTCTATTAATTAAACTCATATAAGTCATTCATCTTAGTGTTAGTTAAATTAAATCAAATCACACTTTAACCCCTCTTGTTACTATTTATATAAAAGAGAAGTATTCATTTCTCTGTGGATACGAACCTTACTACGCTATACTAAGTGTTAGTGTTGTATTGTATTTATTATTTTGAGTGCACACCATGACAAAGTGCATGACACAAGGGTAGGCTAGGCTTGTGCCTCGGGCCCAACATTTATAGGGGCTCATAATTTTATATATAGACATATATATAGAGGACAATTCATATAAGGCCGAGGCCATTTGCCCATTTGGGTCCCTTTCCGAAGGCATTTTTTGTTGAAACTTTTTGAGCACATTCTTCATCAAGTGTAGATTATATCCACAAAATTTCAGTTTAAAATTCAACCGGAGAGTGAGGTAAATAAAATATTGAAACATATTGCGCTTTATGTATATAAATAATGTGCAATATGTTTCAATAATTTATTTAACTAACTTCCGATTGAACTTTAATGTGAAATTTTGTGGAGATATTATACACTTAATGAAGAACATGCTTAAAAAATTTAATCAAAAGTTTTCATCAGGAAGGACCCGAAATTGCCTCGGCCTCACAGCAGTTCCCACTAGGTCGGCCTGATTTCAAGGTTTCATCTTTGGACTTTAATTTGGTTCGATCAGCGATCAACACTCTCCTAATTTCCTCAAAAATATCTTCCAAATATGAAATTTCAGTTTAACCGGTAATTCTCTAATTTTATTTTTTGTTTTTAATATCATTTTCATTCTTTTAGTTCATATCATAAAAGACTTTGATGGAAGACTTACATGTAAGTCTACATTGCTTTGTATGTTGAAATTTGTGTATATAGAGTTAAGCTTTTGCAATATATTTATATAACCTTTTAAGTTTTTTTTTTAAAGCGCCCCGGACCCATAAAATGTTAGGACCGGCTCTGCCCGTACTAAAGTACAGAGCTTGAGAGACTGTTTCCGGATGACTCATAGTGAAAATCGCGTCCAAAATTGCATGGAGTGACGGCTACTTCATAACAAAGAAGCGCAGACAGTTTAGTGAGCCATTTTGCTTTATTCCATCATATTCTCAAGCCAAAAAATAATGAATCTTTGATTCCATTGCAGATGAAGGATAGGGAAGTTCATCCCAAATCCCAATATAATTAAAAATTGATTGCTGTTTGTACACCGCATGGTGTGCACGTATTATACACATAAATCAAGTCTGTGGGAAGAAAAACAGGTAAACTATTCATACATAAAACTAATGCGCATAGACCTACATGCACAGACTAATGACTTAAAAAAAATTCACGCAAATACGTGTATGTTCTGTTTGTGATCTAACTTAACAAACATGAATTGCTTAAATGAAGTATTTTGATGTGTATGGTGTTAGATCGATTAATTTTTTAGGTTCATGCATATTATTTTAGTTACATTTCAGCAGAAACCTCATATAGATACATATACATACGCACACACATATATTTTGGGTGGGTGAGGTTCAAATAAGAAAAATGCTTTGGATGGAAAATGAGAATAACCCTCGGACGTTGAATTCGACTATGTTGTGGTAAAAGATATTTATGTTGCACTAAATTATGCAACTATATATGCAGTGACATTTTGTAAATACATTTGAAAAATATGTGTTACACATCTCTAAGCTAATGCAACGCGAAGCTGATTCAGTATAACATTATTGTCAAATATTAATGCAATATGAAATTGTTTTAGTGCAACTCCGTAAAATTTAAATCATACTGCAACATAAACCTTGTTGCAATGCAATTTATAAGTCTAAACGATTGAGATTCATTTTCATTTCTCACATTATATGTGTTTCTCACCTGAACAAAAATCTATTTTGGGTTTATATATAATTGCTTATTAATTTATTTATTTACATGTGGACGTGTATATGTGACCCACTACATTGATACATTATTACATGTGGTTATAATTATTCATGATTATTTTGTGTATACATTTTTGTGTATGCGGTAGAAGACCTGTGAATATTATAAATACATTAACATTTTTAAACTGTTATAATATTATTTTAAAAGTGTTTTAAATTAGGAAAAATAGTCAAGAATAATCCCAACTATTATTGATTTGATTGAAATAATCCAAAGTATCAATTATCTCATGAGAAAACTTCTCAAAATACTCCGGTGACTTATAATTATCTGTAAATAACTTATACTACCTCCGTTCCGTTGGAAGGTTCTCATAGCAAAGCGGTACGATTATTTAGATAATAATTAAATAAAGTAGTTCAAGTATATTTTAAGAAATAATTTTAATAGGTATATATTATAAGGGAAATTTATCTATATATTACTAAAACTCATGTGAATTCCAATATTATGACTAACCACGTTTTTTGACCTTGGTATGACTAAAAATACAAACCTTCTAAATGATCGTGGAAATCATTGTTCATTTGAATCATATCCATATTTTTAGGATGAATTAGTTACTTGTTAGAATTGAGGTAACGGTTGAATTAAAAAAAGATTAAGAAAAACAGGAATGACCATGCACCTTATTTAAGTATGATAATAGGAAAAAAACTCAAGGAGTCATATATCGGCAAACATAGCTTCTTTTAGTCATAAGAGGGGTAAATATCTCATATTATAATGTAGTTAATATTGATAATTGTGATATTATAAATGTATTATCTTTAATGTTTAATGATTAATTTGTCAGTAAAGATTGTTAATTGTTTCCTAAAATGGAAACGAAAACCTTTATGTAGGACGTCCAAAAATGGAAAGTGAGAACCAACCTTCTAATGCGATAAAGGAAGTACTCCGTAATATTTTTGAGTAAGTTGAGTATTTTGAGAAGATTTTTCAATTGGAATTATTTTGAGATAATTGATCCTTTGAATTATCTTGATAATTCTGAAAAAAGTCAAGGTTAGGTCAACCGGTGAGCGTAGCTCAACTGGTAGCGAAGGAGTGCCACATGAGTTAGGTCCCGGGTTCGAATCCCAGCAACTGCGATGAGAGATTATTATTTTAAAAAATTCATAAGGCTTGTACCGTCCGATCTCTTTCACCAGCTCTAATTATCGTCACATCCGGTTAGGGGCCTCAGGTCATGGATGGCGTGTCATTTTTTTTTCCCGAAAAAAGTCAAGGTTTTATCGAGCAGGGCAACCCAATGGTCTACCCCACTTTTGTACGGGACTAGACTAGAGATTAATGCTGTACTGTACAAATCAGACTGAAAAGAATACCTCCAAGATGGCTTTGATTGCACCTAAATCCAGGAATTTGCCAGCTTCACCAGCCTTCAGCTCTAAGAGAATCTGCATAAAATCCTTCTCATCTCCATCCTTCCTCCCACCTATCTTAGACTTCTCAGAAACAATTTTTCCCCTTCTTCAAGGATGGGTTCAAGAATGTCTCCTACAACCCGCCGTCTTTCTCTGAATTCTCTGCAGGTCAAACCTTTCCAGCCATGGGAAAAAGTCAGAGATATTAGGATCCCCAAGTATGGCCACAAATTTGCGCATCACCTCCCTAAACATTTCCCCAACTTTCTCACGCTTTTCTTCGTTAGATCCTAAGGTACTCCCCATAATCATTCTCGTCACTACATTCATCTCAGTCAAAGAAGCCAATTCCCCGACGTTCACAGCTTGACCGGATTTTGACTTCACACTTCTGATCGCTTTTCTTACCTCTTCTCGCCGGTGATCATGGCAGGCTCTGATGTTCTTGCTACTCAGCATCTCCCGGACAAAAATCTTCCGGGCTGCGCGCCAGTGATTGCCGAGGGGCGCAAAGGCGATGTCACGGCCGCCGTACGTGGCTATCAGTGCCGCCGCTGTCGCGTGGCGGTTACCGAAAATTGCATCTTGATCGCGAACGATCTCTTTCACAAGGGACGGAGAGCTCACCACCATGCACAGCCGGCTTCCTAGTTGAAGCTTGAATATGGGGCCGTGCTTTCCGGCGAGTTCTGTGAACTGGTGGTGAAGATCTGGTCGGAGAAACGGCAGGTATCCGACTACCGGCAAACCGAAAGGTCCCGGCGGTAACGGGCTAACTGGCTCGATTGGATTTCCGTAGTTAAGCCGCCACAGGGTATAAAGGAGTAGAACTGGTAATATGAACAGAGCAAAAGTTTCTATATTGATGCCGATGATTTCGGCTGCAGAAGCCATTGTTGGGTGTGGGTAGGGTCTTGACGGGTCTTCCAATTGCAGACATAACTTAATGGTGTTTAAAGGTTTGGTTTTTGACAGCTCAGCATTTTCTTGTCGTCAATCGAATGGTCTTGACAGGCAAATTATACGGTATCACCGACATTAAGGCGAGAAGCGTATATCAGTCTTTATTTTTGGCAAGCTCCGTAACAAAAATAACACTAGGATGCATTATTTTTTATTCTTTTGGTTGTTAAAAAATGTAATAACTTTTTTATTTCATATCTGATTTTTATAAATCTTGTATTTTTTTTTCATGATCTATCAAATGAGACCAATATTGCTCATGTAATTTTAACAAATTATCGAACTGTTATATTAATGATTATTGGATTATAAGGAAAATCGAACTAAATTTAATACAGAAAAATAATTGTGTAAACCACAATTTATCTTAAAATTGTATATATAAAAAAATTATTGTATTATGTATATGTATATATACATGTGAGTTACATATTTTTACATGTAAAGTTACATATTTTTACAAGTAAAGTTACAAATTTATACACACGAGTTACATTTGGCATGTCTGAACGTGCGTTACATATTTTTACACGTAAAATTACATATTTTTACCCATAAAGTTACATATTTATACACGCGAGTTACATATTTATACACATGAGTTGCATTTGACCTGTCTGAACGCGAGTTACATATTTTCACGTAAAGTTACATATTTTACACGTAGAGTTACATATTTATACACACGAGTTTCATTTGGCTTGATTGAACGTGAGTTACATATTTTTACACATAAAATTATATATTTTACACAAAAATGTTACCGTGGGACCGTCCCACGATGAGGACAGTACACCAACGTAGTATTTGGAAAGTTTCGCTAGTTGAAACTGTATTTGAAAAGTGGGTCCCTTTTTATACCAATAATGAGGCAATTTATCGAACGTGTATTAGGAATATTAACCAATATCTATATCGCATGTACAGTTACATATCTATACACGTTCGTTTTTCCTTATAATTTAATAACGGTTAATATAATAGTTCGATAATGTGTTAAAATTATATAGGCAATATTGGTCTCATTTGAAAGATCATAAAAAATAAAAAAAATTGATATCATTTTATAAAAATCGGATCAAAAATAAAAAAATTATTACCATTTAAGAAAAAGAGAAATAAAAAATAATTAGGCCTACTCAAATTTGGGATGGAATACCATACGCACCGTGGGACGGTTGCATGATATACGAACTGGTGTTGACATTAAAAAATGAATGCTACATGATCTTGTTAACATTATCGTATAATATTCCTTTCCAACGAACAATGTCTACCTTCTAGAAATGTTGAGCTGTCAAAAATTAGTTTAAACGGTGTCATCTTTAATGCTACATTATTAACATGAGATAAATTTTAGGCGAAATTGACATAAATAATCTATACTTTTATGCATTTTACAAAAATAATCCCTACCAGGAAAGTTCACAACAATAATCCGGGCTATTTAACTCTTTCACATAAATAAACCCGGAGTTAACGGTGTTAACTTTTTCGTTTAGTGTTTTTTTTTCAGTTTAAATATAATGAAGCAAAAATATGTATAAGCATCAACAATATTATATACTTCGTATATTTGTCCTTATATTTGCATTTATTATAAATTAAATTAAATACTCCGTAGTCATTATTTTTCATTAAATGTAATAGAAATATTTAAAAATATACTCATCAAATTCTCTTTATTGTATGTATGTATGTATGTATGTATGTATGTATGTATGTATGTATGTATGTATGTATGTATGTATGTGTGTGTGTCTGTGTGTCTGTGTGTCTGTGTGTGTGTGTGTGTGTGTGCGTGTGTGTGCGTGTGTGTGTGTGTGCGTGTGTATGTATGTATGTATGTATGTATGTATGTATGTATGTATGTATGTATGTATGTATGTATGGATGTATGTATGTATGGATGTATGCATGTATGCATGTATGCATGTATGCATGTATGCATGCACGCATGCATGTATGCATGTGTGCATGGATGCATGCATGCGTGCATGGATGCATGCATGCGTGCATGGATGCATGCATGCGTGCATGGATGCATGCATGCGTGCATGCGTGCATGCGTGCGTGCATGCGTGTATGCATGCATGTATGTATGCATGCATGTATGTATGCATGTATGCATGCATGTATGTATGCATGTATGCATGCATGTATGTATGTATGGATGTATGTATGTATGTATGTATGGATGTATGTATGCATGTATGTATGTATGCATGCATGCATGCATGCATGTATGTATGTATGTATGTATATATATATATATATATAAAGTGGATACGGTAGTTAAGTTGTGCAATTTAACGTTAGTTCCATCCATTGGAGGTCTTCATATTTGCGCAAGGCTCAACTAACGGCAGTCTTCCGTTTTTTCCCCTCTTTTGAGCAATGGGACTTAAAATTACCCGGAAAGAGCATCTAGCTGCTGAAGCGATTGAAGATGGGTCGATTGCCATACACGAAAATATCTCTGACACGGTTCCAAGCTCCACCGCTTGTTCTCTGTGAGTGTTGTTTTTTTACTCTTTGGCCAGCTCTGTGATTGTTCTTTCGAGACTGTGAGTGATTCTGATGTTAATTTTTGCTTTGCTTTTTTCTATGTGTTCCATGTTTCTTTTTCTTGCGGTTGATCCTGTTCGTTTCTTTGTTTTATGTGGTCAGGGCGTGGGAGTACAATTTGTTGTCTTTGATCCTTTGTCATATGTGAGAACCACTGAGTTGTGAATCTTCTTGTGTTTCTGTAGGGAGGTCGGGGTTGTCGTTGGGTGGCTTGGGATTGGGTCCCTGGGTTTTGGTGTTGGGAAGTGATAAGTCCTTTTTTGTACTTACTTTTCTTATCAAATTTAAGCGCTTTTGGATTGAAAATATAAAAATAAGGCATGTTTTATATATTTTGGTTCAAGTTTCATGAAATCAGGTAAAAATCACATTCATAACATGTTTGGTTAAATTTCGGGTCAATTGCGTGAAGAAAGTGACATTTTTTGCCAACAAATGAATTGCTACGGAAGTTTGCAAGATATATTGACAAATTGTTCAATGAGAAGAGTCCAAGAGAGGAAGAAATCATGCAAGGAAGCTCAAAAACCAAGAAGGGGTCGCCTATATGACCACTTTTGATGAAAATGGACGATGCATAAAGACACATGTTCATATTTTGATCATAACTTGGCGCATGATTGCCCACAGTTTGTGATACGAGTTGCATTACATTGAAATCTTCTTTCTCTACAACTATTATGAAGAACACATAACCAAATAACAATCGTAGAATGATCATATTGCTCAAAGAAGTCAGACATTTGCAGTAGCGATGGAAAGTGACATGTGCTCACCGTTTTGGTCATATATCATAAACTACAAATCCAGTACATGTAATTCAAATTCCAGTAGTTAGCCAAGAAAGATATCTACAACGTTGGTGAAGACAACTTTTCCATTTGACGTAAGGAGGTCTATAAAGCGGCCGCCTTTCTGGGCGCCTACGAGTTTTCGACAGTTTTAGCACACCACACTTTGCATAACGACAAAACGATGGAAGGCTGCCGACGGAGAACGGAGGGAGGCCGCCCTACATGGCCTCCTGCGGCGGGATGTGATGTTTGACCTACCGGTCGCTGAGACAAGATGGGAGGCGGCCACGGAGGGCGGCCGCCCTCCATGGCCGCCTGCGGCGGATTTGACACGTACACGTACCTTTTACGCCATGGCCGGAGGGCGGCCGCCCTTCAGACCGTCTTCCACGAAACTCCGGCTATAAAATCCCTCTTCCATCCCAGACTCAAAACACACCATCTTACACCCAACTCAAATAAAAAAGGGTGTCTTCTTCCTCCTCAAAGCTCGGTTTTCCACCATTGTTGGACCTTCAACTTCAATCTTTCATATCTTTCTCGTTTTAGCTCCAATTTGTAAGTTCTTTATATTAAAATTCATCTTCTCGTCGTGTAGATTCTGAATATGTTGTTTTTATTTTCCAAACTTTAGTGAACAATTCTCTGCAATAATTTTAAGAATTTCGTATTTTCCATATTTATTCAAGAAAAATAGTTCTTGTTGTTATATTAATCTCCTACTTAGATAAACTCAATACCTAGTATAAATGATGTTTATTTGTGATAGAAACAAAAGTTTAGATGTTGGGAGTATTCACTTTAATATTTTATTTTGTTCTTATGGTTTATGATCATGTCTTATTTTATATGTAAAGTGTTAAAACTAGTAATGAGTTGTTGTAGTTAATTTATTCTTGAGAACGAGTTGAATTAAAAAATATGGGTTGACCTTGTTTGACTGAAAATTAGGAGTTTAACTAATTTTATGGACTAGTTGTTCAAAATGATTAATTTGATTACTTAATAGATTTGGTCATTTCATTAATTAAACTTTGGAAGATTATTTATAACTTGTCTATGAGATTATAAATAGTTTAAGCCAAACATATTGAGCACATTAATGAAGCCTAGAGATAGGATAAATTAATGGATAGAATTTAATCTTTGTCTATGAGGAATAAATTCAATTGTTTAATATGAGAAATTTAATTAATTAATGAAGTAGACCATTTTGTTAGCTAAAATGCGGAAAGTTATATCTATCTTGTCTATGAGATTAGAATATAATTTAGGCCAACCATTTTAAACACATTAATGAAGCCCAGAAATAGGATAAATTAGTGAAAGTAACTTAAATCTTGTCAATGAGAAAAGAAATTACTAGTCCAATCTTTAGTTATAAATACTCCTAATTATTAGGTCCAAGCTAAAAGGATGTACCCATATTTTATAATTCAATTCATTGCCCTCCTTTGATCAATCCATTTAGAGTTTAATATTATATTTTTCATTTAGTTTATTTTTGATCCATCATTAGTATTTGCATAATTTAATTTACTTTCTTTTTCAAAAAGTAGCTTAGAAAATCAATCAAAAGTTTTAATTTGGAAAGCTTCCAATAATTTGCGATAACCTGTGACTGGACTTAAAATCAAGAAACTCCTCCGCCATTCCTCAAGAGACACGATACTCGGGGAAAAGCCGAAAGGTTAAACTCCGTTTTACTACAACACCGCGTATGCGGTTATTAGGAAGTATGTGTTGGGTTTTGGGGTTTACCTGTTTGGCTGCTTCTGGGGTGTTTTTATGTGGTGTTCCAGTGTTTTGCATGATCTGAGCCCTTTCTTGCCATACATGGAGTTTTTTGTGTTGTGTGTGCTTATTTTGGTTGGAGCAAATATTTTTGTGTTTGCATAGGGGTGTGTTGAGGATGTTAAACTCTGGTTTGTCTTGGTTAAAAGAGTTGGTAGCCCTGTGATTTTCTCCTCCTGTGATGGTGGTGGATTTTTAGTGCTTTGTGTTGTTTGAGATTTTCAGCTTCTCGGTTTGTAAGTTTGACTGTCGGGTTTGACTCTGGGGGAATGCTTGTGTTTTCTTTGTTTGGTAACAGGTACTCCTGCTGCACTAATTTGATTTACTGAAGTTGTAAGTCTTTTTTGTTCATGTTCATGCTTTTTGAATGTCTTTGTGTTTGAGATTTGTGGTGTTGTTGTCTCTGTGTTGTTTAATGTGGGCCGTTCAATAGATTTCACGGTGGATGCATTCATGAGTATATGCATGTTGGTGTACTATTGTTGTTGCATTGATATCTCATAAACTTCTCTTCATAGTCATAACAAAGGTATCCGAACCTTGTTCCTAAAAAGGAAGTGGGATTATGCTGCAGTATCGGTCTTTTAGGGTAGAAATGAGTTCAATTTTAATTTTGATTGCTTGTTGAATAGTGTGTGTGCTGCGTAATTTATTGCCGCAGTTTGTGTATGGGTCGGTCCTGTGGTTCGGGCTGTCAGGTGTCTCCGGAAGAAAAGCGTGAACGGCTTTTGAAACATCGGCGCCTGACATACAGTCAACGGACTACAGGCAGTCATGGTGGGTCTGCCTTCACTGCAATTCTTTCAGGTCTGTCCCAATGTATGTAGGTTTATATATATATATATTATGGTCCAACACCTGTTTGTGATGCGATCTAACTTGTTGTTCCTTGTTTTTTCTTAAATACCCCTTCTTCGCAACTTGAACAACCTAACAACCATATGTTTCCCTGTAATTGTTATTGTTTCCTTGCGCCTTTGACACACTCCCTCTTGATGTTGTTGGAATATATTCTGAATGCTTTTCATACTCCTAAACTTATTACCCTAAAATCTACATTCATCTGGCAATTTATTTTCTTCCTTGCCCATCCTTTATTTGTGTACCATATTGGGCTCTTCATCCATCTACCTGCTCATTATCTCCATGAACAATTTGGTTTCTGGCCAAATCACCTTGGACCTGGTTACCCCGTTGTTGGTGTATTTGACGTGTTCCTGACGGCCTCTGCCTTGGTGGCATGTTGAACTGTGTGGTAATTACAGCGCCAGTTTCAGTACAGTCCTCTGCGGGGGAGTCTAGCAGGTCCCCTTCCATTAACAATAACGCGTACCACCTTCAGAATGTTCCTAATTGCTTCTTTTGTTGTGATGAACAACTTCAATATGAACCTGGAGGTATGTTCTGCAGCAGAGGTGAAGTAGTCCTGACCTCTGCTGAGATGCCAGAGAAGTTGGTTCGATTGTTCACAGCCCATTACCCTTTATCAAAACACTTTCGGTCATGCATGCGCACATACAACAATACTTTTGCTTTCACATCCTGTAACACCCCGGCCCCGTAGGTCCCGAGGTAGTTACTTCTGACCTCTAGTACTGTCCTCACAAACCGTCACTAGCCTTTTCCGCACACTTTGTCCTCACTCGTGCGCGCCCTGAGAAACTTCTCGGGGGGTCACCCATCCCAAGACTACTCCCGTGCAAACACGCTTAACTTTGGAGTTCTTGGCTAATGAGCTCCCTTAAAAGGAGATGCACCTTGTTGGTATGAGCAGTACTATTAATCCGTTTAAAATAAATCTCAAGTATTACAATCACCCCCACTTAGGAACATAACGTCCTCGTTGCGCCCATAAACCAATCTCAATCATATCCAGAAATCTTTTCCCCTGCTAAGTGCCCGCCTGATATCTAACGGATCAGCACAATGTCGCAGGGTTGCTCTGATACCATTTGTAACACCCCGGCCCTGTAGGCCCCGAGGTAGTAACTTCTGACCTCTAGTACTGTCCTCACAAACCGTCAATAGCCTTTTCCGCATACATTGTCCTCACTCGTGCGCGCCCTGAGAAACTTCCTAGGGGGTCTCCCATCCCAAGACTACTCCCGTGCAAGCACGCTTAACTTTAGAGTTGTTGGCTAATGAGCTCCCTTAAAAGGAGATGCACTCTGTTGATATGAGCAGTACTATTAATCCGTTTAAATTAAATCTCAAGTATTACACATCCATCAGGATCTACAACTATGACAAAAGCCTTTGTCGTAGGAACCAGGGGATATATACGTTCAGGGTTCAAGGCCAAATATACCACTTCATAAATGACTTGCTGCCTGATGGTTGCACGCCTCGAAATCTTCAGTTATATTTCTATGACATAGACTACACACTTTCGAGTAGGATGGATTCGACGGATCAGCTGGACAAAGAAGTGATCCAAGTATTGATGGAAGTGATGTGTGCAAACCCGTATGCACAATTCTTTAAAATGCCGGCTGATGTGGATCAGACGGATGAGTTTTCCATTGTCCTTAACAATAATCCTCGCCTTAATCAACGTGTCTATAACCGCCCAACTTCATCTCAGGTTGTTGCAGTCTGGGTGGGGGATGGGTATGAGGGTGTGGCTTCGAACAAAAACATTCGCGTGTACGCCCACAACGGAAGGTCTAGGAACATCCATTATTACTATGGCTGTTACGACCCCTTTCAGTACCCGCTTTTGTTTCCGCGGGGAGAAGTGGGCTGACATGTAATACCCGAGATTAAGTTAAGAGGATTAATAGTACTACTCATACCAACAGAGATGCATATCCTTTTAAGGGAGCTCATCACTAAGAACTCCAAAGTTAAGCGTGCTTGCACGGGAGTAGTCTTGGGATAGGTGACCCCCTGGGAAGTTTCTCAGGACGCGCATGAGTGAGGACAAAGTGCGCGGTAAAAGCTCGTTGTGGTTTGTGAGGATAGTACTAGAGGTCAGAAGTAACTACCTCGGGGCCTGCGGGGTCGGGGTGTTACAGGTGGTATCAGAGCAACCCTGCAGCAGTGTGCTGATCCGTTGGATATCGGGCGGGCACTTAGCGGGGAAAGATTCTGGGGTTTGATTGAGATTGTTAAGGGCACAATGAGGACGTTGCGATCCTAAGTGGGGGTGATTGTAATACTCGAGATTAATTTAAGAGGATTAATAGTACTACTCATACCAACAGAGATGCATCTCCTTTTAAGGGAGCTCATCACTAAGAACTCCAAAGTTAAGCGTGCTTGCACGGGAGTAGTCTTGGGATGGGTGACCCCCTGGGATGTTTCTCAGGGCACGCATGAGTGAGGACAAAGTGTGCGATAAAAGCTCGTGGTGGTTTGTGAGGACAGTACTAGAGGTTAGAAGTAACTACCTCGGGGCCTACGGGGCCGGGATGTTACATGGCTCGAGGGGATTCCAAAAGGTCATGCTGGCGTTGTGCAAAGTGGTTCAGCCCCTGCAAGCCCACTTACCATTAATTGCAACCACTTTGAAACAGATGAATCACTGATACTGGGGAAAGAACAATTGCTTACTGCATGCAAGAAAGGGCACTCAGTTTCTTGTCGTTAGTATTACACATACAAGTTGCAATTCCGTCACGGGAACACCTCGTTTGTTATGCATTCTGGCCGTCTCTTTCAGCAATACATAGTTGACTTATATATTAAGATTGAAACGCAACGACTTGATTGTTACCGTAGTTAACAGCGTGAATGTCGTGGGGACACATACCAGGGTTTGGTTGATGTCGTTGGCGCAGGTATAGACAATGCTAACGACATTGTTCGGCGTGTGATGCTGCCTGTGTCATTCATTGGCGGTCCGCACGACATGCGCGGTCAGTACATGGATGCAATGGCGCTTGTCCAAAATTATGGTAAGCCAGACTTGTTCATCACCATTACCTGCAACCCCAACTGGCTTGAAATCAAGGACCGGCTGACCTTCGTTGATGAAGCTCAAAATCGACCCGTCCTTGTTTCACGTGTGTTCCAGGCCTGACTTGAAGAATTCAAAAAAGACATTGTGTCCTGAGCTTTGTTCGGCAAAGTGGTTGCATACACATACGTCATCAAGTTCCAAAAGAGAGATCTTCATTATGCTCATTTTTTACTAATACTGTCTAGGGAATGCAAGATATCAATTTCTTCCCGTTGTGATCAGTTGATTACTGCTGAACTGCCATATCCTACTCCAGATTCTGACATTTATCAACTTGTGAAAAAACATATGATACATGGCCCTTGCGGTGAGATGAACCCACAATGTCCGTGCATGGTTTTGACGCGTGGTTCAAGGTCCCCAAAGTGTAGAAGTAAATTCCCCCACAATTTTTCTCTTGTCACAGTATTCGATGATAACTGCTTCCCTGCCTATAGGCGACGTGATTCGGGAGTTACTATCCAAGTGAGGAAACATAGTCTTGACAACCATTGGGTTGTTCCTTATAATGCCCAATTATTGCGCAAGTACGATTGCCACATCAATGTGGAAGCTTGTGCGAGCGTGAGGTCGGTTAAATACATATACAAGTACGTTTACAAAGGGCATGATAGGGTCAACATCTCATTGTCGGAAACAAGGGAAGATGAGGTAATTGATGAAATTTCCGATTTCCAGAAAGCGCAGTGGGTTTCTGCTCCTGAGGCTGCATGGCGCATATTCAGCTTTCCAGTCTCGGAAATGCACCTTGTTGTTCTTCAATTGCAAGTTCACTTGGAGAATTCTCAATACCTCACCTTTTATGGCAACCAACGCATAACGTACATCACAGGGGCTGCTGATTCAATGAAAATAATGTTGATGCAGTTCTTTGCCATGAACATGTCTGATAAGGTTGCAAAAACCCTGCATCTTCTTTATGTTGAATTCCCACACTACTTTGTCTGGAATGGCCAACGTAAGGAATGGACTCGGCGCAAACGAAAGGAAGTCATCAGTAGACTTATTTATGTGAATCCCATGGAAGATGAGCGTTATTATCTGCGATTCTTGCTTTCCAATGTACGAGGCCCAACATCATTTGTCGATCTCAGAAGAGTTGGCAGCGATGAAATGCCCACGTACATGGATGCAACTGAACGTATGGGCCTGTTGTCAGGTGATTTTGTGATGCGAGCATCCCTTGATGAGGCAGTCTTGTTCCAATTGCCATCCAACCTTCGTAAATTATTTGCCACACATTTATGCTTTTCAGACGTGACAAACCCACGTTCGCTTTGGGAAGAATACAAAACCCATTTGTGTGAGGACCTTGCTAGATTTCAGCAAAACATGGCTGCTGAAAAGGCTGCACTCATGCTGCTACGTGATCTCTTTGCTGAAATGGGTAAGGATATTGACTCCTTTAGCTTGGTGGATGTTGAATTGCGCGAAATTGCCGCGGAAGGGGGCACACATGAGGTGTTGGCAGAACTTATTATCCTTGTCAGTGATGCAGACCTCAATGGCATTTCAGCGTTGAATACTCAGCAACGAGTAGCGTTTGACTCCATCATGGCAGCTGTAAATGTTTGTCAAGGGGGTGTGTTCTTCGTTGATGGTCCTGGGGGGACTAGGAAAAGTTTTTTATACTGATGTTTACTCGCTGCAACCAGGACGAACAAGTGGATTGCGCTTGCAACCTCGAGTTCAGGTGTTGCTGCGTCTATTCTTCCCGGGGGGCGCACTGCCCACTCGCGATTCAAACTCCCACTTGATGGGGAATCAAAGTACATTTTCAATATTGGCAAACACTCTTCAGAGGCATGATTACTTAGAGAAGCACGACTTATCTTGTGGGATGAGGCATCCATGGCGAACCGCTTGATTGTTGAATACTTGGATACCACAATGAGAGACATATTAGATGTTGACGCTCTTTTGGGGGTCGGGTTATGGTGTTTGGCGGTGATTTCAGACAAGCGTTGCCGGTTGTGTGTTCAGGCACACGACATGACTTTGTAGATGCTTGCCTGCTTAGATCAATGACAATATGGCCACACATTCACCGATTGCGCCTTATTCTAAATATGCGTGCCCATGAAGATCTTTGGCTTTTGTGTTTACCTATTGCGGATTGGCAATGGAACTGAGCCCACTGTATCTTCAGGCCGGATCAAAATCCCTTCCAATTTCCTTCTTCCCTGTATCAATGAAACTGACTCCCTGGATTTGCTTTTTTCTACCGTGTATCCAGACATGCGCTTGTTTGAAAATGACCCTTATTCTCTGATGTCCTGCGCCATACTAACAACAAAGAATGACATAGTAGATTTTATCAATTCATCCTTGATGCATAAGTTCCCTGGAGAAGAACACACACATTCCTTAGCCATGATATTCCTATTGACTCATACAACACACACTGTGATGATTATTTGGACACTCTGTCCCCAACTGGATTGCCCCCCATAAATTGAACTTGAAGCATAATTGTCCAATCATGTTGCTTCGAAATCTTAATCAATGTGAGGACTTGTGCAATGGAAATCATTTAATTTGTGATTCATTTGGGGATCACATTCTAAGTTACGTTGTTGCATCGCTACAGGCGACCACAAGGGGAAACACGCGTTCGTTCCTAAAATCCCCCTTGAGGTTTCAAGGGATGAAAACTGCCTTGTTCTGTTTAAACACACATAGTTTCCTGTGAAGGTTTGTTTCACAATGACAATTAACAAATCACAAGGGCAGACACTTGACTTCGTTGGCATATATTTGAAAGAACCTGTTTTTTCTCACAGGCAGCTTTATGTTGTGATGTCAAGGGCTCGCAATGCAGATTCCATAAAAATCATCATTTGTCCTGATGATACCAGACCAGTGCTGACTCATACAACACCCAATGTTATGTTTGAAGAAATATTGCCTTTCATTAACTAGGTTTTTGTTTATTGATTATATGATTAAATTTTACCGTCACTCATACCTTCATATCTTACCTACTGTACATTAAACACCTTTTCTCACTAATGCAGTGAATCAGTGGGAAAAATGGGAGTTGAACTACCAATTGTGTCTATCAGACCAGAAACCCGTCCATGGACCTCTGCCGCGTTACGGTGGTGGAGAAGCAAATGTGTGCACGGCAAAAGCTTCCCCCATGAAGTTTATGCCGATGATACTAATGGATTCTGTTGTATGTTTCTATATATATTTGATCCTATGGCTATTTGCAACTTTTTACGTGTTCATTCTGCTGATTCACTAGGCTTATTCTTTATAGGGAAATAGGGTCCAGGCCACTGCATTCCAGGTTGACATCGAATGGATAGATCAGCACCTTGCGTTATACTCAACCTATCTTGTCTCAAATGCCTATGTCAACCCGATAACTGACATGCTCTTTTGTGTTGACGGAGAGTATCCATATGTTTGGTCATTCACACGCCGCACTTTGATCCAAGATGTCGCCGTGGAGGAGGGACATGACTTTCGTCAACTAGCTGAGGCAGACACCACCTCTTTTACTGACATATATGCTTCTTACTTGCATGATGAACGTATCAGTAAGCCTCTCTTCTTTAATCTTTAATATATATTAGTAATCGTGCCTTTTGCTATATATGTAATGCATTCTTATCACATGACAAAATGCAGATTTTCTGGCTGCAATTGTAAAGAAATTGCCCCGCACCTTTGTGTTCTCCAATGCCGTTCAGAAACCAGCGTGGGATGTAGTCATTCTTGATGAACAGTGCACACTGCCTTCGTTTATTTACCTTCCATATATTATAGCCCCGCCCCGCACTCATTTCATCTTTATGTTTTGTTTGGATAGGCGCATTCCAATCTCATTCACTATGTGGGAGGAATTCGTCACCCGCCATGGTTGTGAGATTGTTAAGCATTTGCAGGCCGGTGACTTCCCCCTTGTTATGATTAACAGGGCTGCCATTAACCTTTTCCAAGGTTGTAACATCATCTCTCTTAACTTTGGCACATTCGACCATAATTGGCTTGTATTAATGTTAAACAACCTCCTTTCATTCATTGTTTTTGCTACGTTGGATCTGAAATACTCAGGTTTTACCCTTTCAACTCGTTTTGATTGCCATGTTGAGCTCAATCATGACAAAGAATGAACATTACGATTGAAAATATAGTACCTGCCCAGTCCCCTGCCTATACATTCATTACGATAGCAAAGAGTTTAGAACGAAATGTCATCTTTTGTCTATCTTTGTATGCTCTGGCAGGGTTGGTGAAAACAAAGATAAAATCAATGAAGTGCTGCATACAAGGAAATATGACGATACACTCACGGTGATTGCCAAACCTCTTTCGAAACCATCGACTGCCCTCGTAGATTTGGAAACTTCCCTTAATGAGGTATGCCTCACTACAAAAAAACAAAAACAGAGCCTCAGTTTATTCTATCAACCCCCTCATCATTTTTTACACTGATTCCAATGCACAGGACCCTGTTGTGTGGGTGTCTGGCAAGTTCCACATGTCAGATACTTCGGAAGAGGGCTTCTATATTGGTTGTGACTATTGCAACTGCCGAGTCCATGGAGTAGAAGGTGTGAATTTCCAGTGTTTATTGTGTGGCCAAAAGAACGACATTACTATTAAAAGGTATGTGCATCCAATAACATGCATCGTACTTCTTCGTGAGTTGTTTGCTGAAACTTTAGGATGCGTTTAGGTTCAGGCTCAATGCTTCGCTAGGTGATGGGACCAATAGTATACCTATCACCCTTTTCACCAGTGATGTGGTGCAACTGTTGAAATTTGTCAAGATGAACCCATTAGGTGACATGGACTTGAAATCTTTTGGTGCAAAGATGCAGAACATCAACGTTGTGTCTAGAGTGAAGAGGTCAAGAACCAACGAAGAGGGCGTTCTAGGCAATCCATACACCATAGTATGTGTCGCTCTTGTTGAGGACACCTCCCCTGACTCCCCAATTGATGACCCTGCTCCACCAGAAACTGAAGATGCCCCGTCAACCCCTCCGAAAAGGAAACTGAACTCTAAATTCCTCGATCAATTGCCTGCTGCACACACATCCTCATCAACCAATAATGTGGTGCACACGGGTAATGTTTTAGAAGAACCGCTTGCAAACCCACGCCAACAAAAAGCACAAAACTGGCAACGCTTGATGTGTTGTGGATACATTTTTTGCAAACATGTGGGTGGTCGGTGCAGTCTTCGAATGGAACTCCGTCTATATAATGATGCACGCCTGCAATCTTCTAATAGCCCTTTTTTTGCCCACTTTCGTAGTGTATAATTGGCAGAAAGTGATAGTGCTGATATGACTTTACTTGCTGCTTGATTATGCATATGTCTGCATCTCTCCCTCACTCATGCATCCAATATTTTTGCACATGCATTATTATTATGCAGAACATCTTGTAAATGTTGATTCAACTTTGCTTCCCTGCTGGTGGGAATGTAAATAAACCTTTGTGTATATTTTGATTTCGTGTATATGGTTGGGATGTTTTCTTTTATGATGTTTTATGCAGCGCGGCATTGCTGGAAATTTCCTTGTTTGGCCCGCATCATTCACAAGAGGTATGCCTTGTGTTGTTTATTGTGTTTCTATGTGAAATTTCCACCACCCTATCACTTGCTTATTTGCATGCCACAAGTTGATCTTTTTTGAATTTTTTTTAAAAATACTTGATTTATTTATTTATTTATAGGACAAGAATGACGTGTTTCCTTCTATTTTTTACTCAAAAGCCATTATCCAACCATATCTACCATAAATGAACAAAAAGATTCCAATACAAGCTAGCCCTGCCCATTTTTTCCAATATAAAATTAACTTGCACCACCAACCCACAAATTTGAGGCATTTGAGGCTGAATTTGTCCAGCCTAATACGACCTGGGCCCATAATCACTTACTGATTGTGTGGGTACAATTTTTAAATGAAAGCTTAATTAAACACTTGCATGAACTGCCAATCAGCTAACCGTTGCCATTGGAGCCGTCAAAATGGGCCGAAACCCGTGGGTTGACCCGTTTAAACCCATTTATCGGTGGGTTAGGATTGTGAATTTCTGACCCTTTTAGTTCACGGGTTTAAGTGGATTGGCTCAATGGGTTGCGGGTTTAAGTGGGTTGGCCTGCGGGCAAATATACAAACATACAGTTTTGACTTTTATTATCTTCAATATTATTCTTTTACTACCAAAAATATTATAATTACAATTAAAAAATTAAAACAATTGCAAAATAATTATTACTCCCTCCGTTCCTATTAAAACTTCCAACTTTCCTTTTTCGTCCGTTCCAATTAAAACTTCCACTTTCCCTTTTTAGTAAAGAATTTGTGGTTCACAACATTTCTTACACATTTCTCTCTCCTCTGCACAACTCTCCACCACACAATACCCACTATCTTAAATTGTGTGCCAAATCTATTGGGAAGATAAAATAGGAACGGAGGGAGTATTTCTATAATAAATATTCAAATAAAATGTTGAAACATATATTTTATGAGAAGTTCGGTACAATATTTAGCAACTACTAGTCATGAAATAATTAATCAAAAGGTTTAAATATATCTTTACTTTTATACAATGAGTATTTTTGTTACCTACCCTCTTATAGTTTTCAAATTCTCGTATAACTAGTATTTAATATTTTGTAATTAAACTTAACAAGTATTGAGTTCTTAGTATTTTGATTTTTTATATTCTCCTTATTACTACTTACTAAATAATATATATACTCCAGGGTAATTATTTTAAAGAATCTTTTGTCATATTTTTTTACATTGGCCCGTGGGCCAACCCGTTTAACCCACAAGTTAGGTGGGTTGGGTTAGGGTTGTAAAAATTCTGACCTGTCACTAAACGGGTTGGCCCGACCCAACCCACATAAAGCATAACCCATCACGGGTCGGGTTCAGTCGGGTTGACCCGTTTGACAACTCTAGTTGCCGCCCATTCCCATCCCAAAGCATTCCTTGAAGCGGCCGTTTCCCTGCTCCCTAGCCTTTCCAGTCGTCTGTTCAACCCTTTCACGTTGTCTAACACTCCGATGGGTGTATCACTTATCGCAGGTAATTTCTTCACCCCCTCTTCACGCTCCCTGCCATTTCCGCATGTTCTCTGCTATTCCGTTTTTCCCCTTCTGATTTTTGCATTATTGTTGTATGGTTCAAGGACAAAGGTATGCATGCAAAGAGGGTGTTGTTACACCCCTGCATCCTTTCACTTTCTTTGATGATTTAAGTTATGGTGTTCATCTTTATGTGTTTTGGTGTTTCATTTATAGATGAAGCTTCACTGAATTTATATATATCACTTCCTTAAAATGTGTATACATGGCTGAATGCATGGATTCATTCAAGAACAAAAACAAGTATATCTATGTATTTCATTGACTTTAATCTTCAAAACTAGTGAAAACCCTTCTAATGCAATGTTTTCACACTTTATTGGATAAATTTCATAATTTGTTATGCACTCTGCCATCCCTCCCCCTTCAATGCAATCCTGCCCCTCCCCCCTCCAATGGTTTGGTTCATTTTGCTAGCTTATTTCCCTTTTCCAGCCTAATGGACCTGTTGAGCACTTGTACCGTGGAAGCTAAAACGGACAATGGAGGTGGTAATACCCTGACCTACTTCCTGCATAGTGTTCACAGAAGGAAGGTTTCTGCTCTTGTTCTCACTCAAACATCCAACAACAAATACTACTGTCATGCAAACATAGATTGTCAGCACTTCTTGGTTGCTTCAGGCTTTGACAGACTACTGCCCACGCGGTTCAGAAGCAAGGGTGAACGTGAACACAAGATTAACCATTTCATGAGGCACAATCTTATCCTGCCTCCACCAGGAGGTCACTTCATTATCCCTGCTTTTAGTTCTTGTGAGCAACACCTCTTTTATTTTTTTGTCTTTGCACGGATGTGATCATTTTATCTGCTTTCATGTTTCTTGTTCATCTTGTGTAGCATGTCCGATGACTACCACAATCCATTATCCTGACGTGTTGCAATTCTCTTTGGTATGGTGCCTACTCGACATTCAGGACTTCGACGAAGCGGTAAAATCAGTATACTTATAATTTGTTATTGTTTTCATACCTGCTTGGTCTATACTACACTGATTATTGTTTTTTTGCCTTTACTTTAGCGAATACCTCCTTGCATGCACCGACAATTATTCAAGCACACCAAATCGGAGGCTGTACTGCCGTATGGAACTGGCTCTTGGACACTGCCTGTGGAAGCCTACATTTTCAAAGAGGAGTTTGCTAATTTCCTCGTGGAAAATGAAATTCCGTTTGGCACCTACGTTCTGCTCCGACACATTGGAAATTTCACGTTTGACCTCCTAATGTTTGACACGGAAGGCTTCTCCCGGAACCTAGGTGCATCGTCCAATGCTATCTTCGACCCTACGCTTCATGGGGGTATGTTTCCTAAATATTCATAATGCCTTTTCATGTACCAAACTCCTTAATTCCATTCCTTTACAAATGTGTGTAATTCTTTCTATTTTACTTGCAATACAGGTCACTTCTTTGTATATGTGCAATCTGCGTTTACAAACTGCTCCTACAGGAAACTGTTTCATACCCCATCATTTCTTTATGTGCCCATAAAAATGGTTGCGGTACGAGCTCTTTTGTGTTGATTTTCATTTTGAATTGTCTTCTTTGGATCAAACCTAAGTGTTATTATTAACTGCAGTCAACTTGTGAGGCGTTTCCGAACACGTGTTATGATCAAAGAGGTCACGTTCTCATCTTGCATGGCCAAGAAGAGCACCATTTTATGGGTAGCGAAATTGATCTATTAGATGAAATTCAAGAAATTCATTTTATGGGTACCATTTTATGGTATTGCAAGAAATTCAGTGTACTTTCCACATTGACCCAACTTCCAGCTTTGCATTTTTTAGATATGGCCGTGACAGGGTTAGCCTCATTGCCGTTTCAGCGTGTGGCGTTGAAGAACCACCTCGCAGGAACCATACATACGAAATCGGCAGTCAAGCTTGCACTCACATTGTTGGCCATGCTTGAATGCTTTGCAGTGTTGACATGAAATTTATGTAGTACTATTTTGGTTGTAACGCTTTCTTTTACGGTTGACTGCTTGAAACAATCATGTCAAACTGTTTTTTGATTGAACAATCATGCATTTTGCTGAATTGACAATGTTAAACAACTGTTTTATTGCTCATTGACAACATTAAACTGTTACTTTTTTTATCTTGTTCTTCAATGTTTTACTCATTTTTTCTGTCCATTTTCCGCCATTGGGCATTGACCCTCGTGCAACGCGCGTGTCAATGCTAGTATATATATATATATTGGTTCAAATGAGAACGAGTCTTAATGTGAGAACGTGAGAACACATCACAACCCTTCATTTGGATGCATCTCACGTAAGAATTGATTAAAATAATAAGGGCAATTTTGTATTATACTCTTGGGTAGTATTTTTAGTAACTACCATGATTGATTAATGTGGAGTTATTTTAGGAATGGAATAATTACATTCCATTATTTTTCCTTGTTCAACGTGAGCCATATCTCCATTTTTATTAATGTTGTAATCTGAGTGCATTAAATATTAGTCGTTCAAAGTGAGAAATATTGATCTTCCGTTAGAATATTAGTCGTGTGTGTTAAATACAAGTTCTTGTGCGGTAGTTAGAGATGTTTGTGAAATACGAATCTTGTGCAGTAAATACTTATTGTGATTATATATATTATGAGTATATGTTAGGTACAGGTTCTTGAACATATATTAATATTGTGCATAAGATATTGATTCTTGTGTGTTATATATTAGAATAAGATATTGATTCTTGTGTGTTATATATTAGAATAAGATATTGATTCTTGTGTGTTATATATTAGGTTCTTAAATAGTCATTTTTTAACTAAATGCCATTTTTCAAATCCCCATTATCAAGTAGGCTTTTAATAGAACACTCGCTGGAAAAGGGAAACCACAAAAGACGGTTCCAAAACTTCCCAATTAACAGCGCACCAACCGCAACAAACCCGGCCCCGTTTGCACGCAAACGCAGCTCGGCCCACTTAACTGCTTTCCTCTCGGAGCTCCGACCCATCTATAGTTGCAGAAAAACGGTCTCTATAATTGGAATCATAAATCACGACGGGAGAATCAATATCACCGCCATCGGATTCTTCCCTGTTTCTCCTCCCTTATTATTATTATTCCGTGTATGCATAAGAAATTTCTTCAATTTTAGATCTTTCGGTTCAACAATGTCGAAGTCTCCATGGGCAAACATTGGCACATGGGCTGCTGAAACGGAGCGGGCTGAAGCTGAGGAGCGCGAACAAGCCGTCGCTGCAGCTGCGGCGGCTCCTGCTGGCAACGTTACCGGCGGGGACTCTCAAAACTTCCCGAGCCTCAAGGAGGCTAACACCGCGAAACCGAAGAAGAAAGCTGTTGCCAAGATGTCGTTGCAGGAGTTCACGACATACGACGCCTATGGCTCTGGCGGTACTGGTAGACGCTTGACGCACGAAGAGATGCTCCATCTTCCTACGGGTCCCAGAGAGCGCTCCGCGGAGGAAATGCAATCTGGTCGGCTTGGTGGAGGCTTCTCAAACTACGGGAACAGGTTCACGGGCCAGCAATCGGGTAGGAGCCGAGATCGTGATGTCGATGGTGAAGGTCCCTGGGCGAACAGTCGGAGGTCTTATGGCGGTATCGATGATGATCGTAGAGGTCCACCATCTAGGTCTTCGGATTTCGATCAACCCTCCCGAGCTGATGAGGTTGATAACTGGGCTTCAGCGAAGAAACCCTTACAGTCGTATGATTCCGATTTGACTGCTGCTCCAGGCGCTCGTTCAAGGTATGCTATGCTCGGAGCAGGAGGTGGTTCCTCAAGGGCTGATGGCGTTGATAATTGGGGAGCTTCAAAGAAACCTATTGCTCCTCCACCCGCCAGATCTTCCACCTTTGGTTCGGAGTTCAGAGACTCAAGGTCTGAAGCTGATCGCTGGACACGGGGTGTTGTTAGTCAGAGATTGGTTTTAGATTCGCCTAAGAGTGAACTTGGAACTGACAATGTGATCGAGGTTCCTGTAAAGGTGAACAAACCCAACCCATTTGGGGCAGCCAGGCCTAGGGAGGAAGTGCTGGCTGAGAAAGGTCTGGACTGGAAAAAAATAGATGGCGAGATTGAGGCAAAGAAGGTTAGTAGTCGCCCAACAAGCTCACAGTCGAGTAGGCCTGGAAGCTCTCAGTCTGCCCGTTCTGAGGGACAGATATTGCAGGGTATGGTAGAAGGGGGTATAAAGCCGAAGGTCAAGGTAAATCCATTTGGGGATGCGAAGCCTAGAGAGGTTTTGCTAGAAGAAAAGGGTCTTGATTGGAGGAAGATTGACTTGGAGTTGGAGCATGGCCGCATTAACAGGTTTTCATCTTGTTTTCTGAATTTTGTTTTACACAGTATCCCCCTCTATTGTTCTCATAATCTAAAGAATTGCTCCAGCTGTTTGGTTAGTGTGGATCAGCTGAAAGGAGGAATGTTTAGATGTTTCTAAAACTGGCAGGATTATGGTACAAATAATAAAAGTACACTAACCTCATTCCCATTAAGGTTTTCACCTTTGACGAGTACAAAGATTAAGAAAATGAAAACAGGGTCATTGAGATAGCTCTAGAAGACATGAACATTGCGGACCCCGAATTTCTTTAGTTAAATGGTAAGTAAAAAAGTTTTTGGCAGAACCAAATTAAGAAAGTCGACAAACCTTCTAGGGACTGTAGATGTCATATATTTATAAACTCATGAATGTGGGTTGAAATATAATTTGCCATTTTCATCCACTTCAGCTAAAAAATCATTTCAACTCGTCCTTTTAATATAAGTTTCAACAAATTCAGCCGCAATTGGGTTAACTAAGTTACCTATTGTTAAAATAAGGTTGACTTACTCAATAAGGTCTAGACACTAGCAAGTTGGCTTTTGTGCACACTATCCGTTCCACGGCAATATCATTTTTATCATCTTTATAATTGGTTAATTTTCACTGGATTTTATATGAACATGTGAAAGCACTATGCATAAGTATTTAACAACAGTAGAAAATACAATCTTAACTCTTAAGGAAAGACAATTTAATGTGCCCTCCACTAGAAGTTTAGAATGTGATCTTTCTATGGAGTCATTTAATGCCATGACAATATGGCGATTCTGGCTGTTATAGTTTGTTATAGAGTTATAATCTATTGAGTTGTAGACTTGTAGGAATTCATAGGCACACTAGTTTTCATAGCTGATCTCTGTTTTCTTAATTATAAGTTAAAAGCTTTTTTATTGGAGTTAATGTTGATCATGTGTACACACAATGGCATGTTTGAAGTTTTCGATGGGGTTGGCATGGCAATGTTTTGTTATAATCAGTGGTTTTATGATACAGTCAGCAGGGCCGGTCCTCACAAAATGGGAGCCCTCATCATCATCATTACCTCAGTGCTGCAAAGGCTCCCACACCTAAATATTGGCCTTTCTTTCCCACACAAATAGATACTCCCTTCGTCACATAAAATTCTTCCCGGTTTGACTTGGATCGAAATTAAATGAAGTGAGAATAAAGTGAAAATATGTGGTTGTGGTTGAATAAAAAAAATGTAAATGAATGTTAGCCACACAAAATTTTCCAAAAAGGAAATAAGAATAATTTTTTGGGACTTCCCAAAATGGTAAATAAGAATAATTTTATGGGATGGATGAAGTATGATGAAATATAAATAAAGATGATAATATTGACAAAATTCAATTAGATTGTTAAAACATAAATACTTTAATTACTTAATTAAATAAATTTATTTATTGGGGGACTGGGTAATTGGGATGGGACGGTCTAATACTTTTGAACACGGGCTGATTCTACCTTTCTCAATCTTTTTTGCACATGGGCTGACTAATACTACTACGAAGCAATGTTCTAAAAAGCTGTAGGCGTATTGAGGCAGCACGGCTAAGTCTCGAGCCTTTGAAGCCTACACGAGTTCAGGCGAGGCGTTGGTGCGAAAAGACGTTTTGATTTTTTACTCATTATTTTAATTTTCCTACCGCCATCAATAAGAATGTAAATTTAGCATTGCATAATATTACACAAGAACACCCTTTTAATTTTCCTACCGCCATTAATACGGAACACTAATTATTTAGTACTCTGTAATATTTTGTAAAATAATTGCTGTAGGCTAATTTAGTTCCCACTCCTAAAGAGCTAAAGGTTTATCCAGGGAAAAAAAATGTGATAAAGGCATTTTGTGCAAGTGCCTAGCATGTAGTCTATCTATCCTTTAACCATTTTTCCCACACCGGAAGAATTAAACGGTTCTTCTTTGCTCTTTGGCGAAATAATGCTCCTCATGCATTAAGGAATTCTACTGACATTAATTATTGTATCATTGTAGGCTCATCTCAAAATCTTGACTTTTTATGTTACCATATATATTAGTTCTCTGGAAGGTGGAAACAGAACGTGATTCAGAGAAGTGAGGAGGAAAACATTCAAGTTGAATCTTGCATTAATAGAAGACTGGATGTTTTTTTAAATTGTTGAATAAATGCAACTTTTTCAATGAAGTTCAGCCGTTAAGGAGCATATTATGTTAGGCCACATTTCTGCGATTGTTGAGCAAAATTTATGCTTTTTGTTATGTTGTGGTTTATTGAACTAAGTAAAAGATGCTTTCAGGAGTAGGAGATACACATTCAATGTTTCCTCTTTCATCTTTTCCAAGAATAATTAATCCATACAGACCTACAAACTGTATGAATTACATACCATTTGCCCATGTAGATAACAAATATTAAATGAGATACCATATTGCTCCTTATTATAGCTTATTGTTGGTCTTGTGTGATCTGCCGTGTGCTTGTATGAGTCGGCCATGGGAATTGTGCCTTTTAACCGCTAGATTTACATCTTGTTCCAATATAGGTCTTAGTAGAAATGATTAAACGGTTAGGATTAAGTTATCATTACATACTTTCCGTTGTCTATCTCTCTTCAGTGAAATTGATTTGCTGGTATGGTTTAATGAGTGAAAATTAATTCTTGATACTATTGAGCTGAAAATCTGAATCATTCGATTTTCTTTTGGCCAAAAAACGAAGGTGGCCTAACCAAATCTCATCAGAATTGTGAATGAGTGTGTGTGTATCAGTTGGGTTCAATTAAACAATCACTTATATGAAAACGAGAATACATCTCGCACATTCATCTTGGGTATCTAAAGGCTCATATATATTGGGTGCACCGAATAAAGGTGAAATTTGTGACATGCAAGTGTATCCTTGTAGGAAGCCTATTCATTAAATGCTCAATTGCTCAATAATTTTCATTGGTCCAACCATTCATTACATCAATTTAAAGGGCTGCAATGCATTCTGATTTTTCATAGGAAGAAGATTTTTTTATATAGACCAATCTATATATACACATATATATCGTTCATCCAAATTTCTAATTGATGAGATAAAAATGTTTCAGGCCGGAGACAGATGAGGAAAAGAATTTGAAAAAAGAAATAGAACTGCTTAAAAAAGAAGCGTGTCAAACCCCCGGTGAAGATGACCAGGGAAGCATAATCCATGATGAACTGATAAATAAAAAAGAAAGGGAATTGGAACTGCTGATCCGGGAATTGGATGACAAAGTTCGTTTTGGTGAAAAAGACGGTGAGAGGCCAGGGTCATCATCAAACAGAGTTACTGAGAGACCCCCATCCCGGCCAGGATCTGTTGATGAACACAGAAGTGGTGAGTTCATGGATGGTCGGCGGCCTAGATCGCGTGGTACCGGAGGAGATGCTTTGTATGGCCGAGTTGATGACAGAAGAAGATCACTGCTGCAGCAGCAGCAAGGTGGTGGTAGGCCAGGTGATGACAGAAGAGGTACAGCCCAAGGTGCTTTTCCTACAGAGGACACAAGAGGTTTTCAAGGTGCTGCTCGGTCAAGTGGTGGTAGGGATAGAAGATTTCATGGTAACAGGAACATGGAAAGGTACTATAATACTCTCTGTCTCCTTATTCTACACATTACAAGTTCACTCTCTTTTTGCAAACACATGGAGGATAAGATTTTTCTTTTGGAGGCCAGTGTTTACTGGTTCTCATTTCGTATTCTCTGTTGTTTCATAGTCTGTTTGGCTATGGTTGTTTAGATTATGATATGCTGGAATACCTTAGCAGAGAAGTGATTGGAAAAATCTATTTCAGCCAAAGTATGCACAACATAAGCTACTACTTATTTTGCTTATTTGGATCATTCAACTGATAATAAGAAGAATAAACATAATTCCGGATCAGACTACCAAAGGGGCTCTTAATTTATGTGCTCTGTATATTCGGCATGATCTTTGTTGAGAGCAATTGAGGATGGATGTGAATAAAGTGTCAAGATGTGAACATTCTATTGACCTTGAAACGAACTTACCGTGTGCTCTCGTCGGGGGGTGGGGGGGGGGGGTGGGGGGTGGAGGTTTTGAACGGAATTAAAAACCAGAACAACTCTTAACTACTCTCTTGCTTTTAATAAAATCACTACTTCTCCACCATTAAAAATTGTTGCTTGCAGTTCTTATCGAATATTGGAAATCTGCTACTTGTTTTTTTTTGTGGGTCAAAAATTATTGCCTTATCATAGTTTAGACTTTCACATTCTCCCCATCTCCATGGGTTTATTTCCAGAGCTATTTCCTTGAAGCTCTTGACCATTTTTCAGGCTTTGCCCCAAATTAAGTTCAACTAACTTTCATCGTTACTATTGGCAGGTCAAGATCTGATGACAGATGGTAAACTTCAAACTGCTGTGGATTCTTTGCTCTGACTGATTATTGGAAGATAATAATTTTTGTCATCTTTTGTTTAATCGAATCTTAAGTTTTGCTGTGAGAATTGGAGCTAAAATTACCTAGTATTAGCGCCAAGTACATTAATTCCTGCACCTCGTCACTTTTGTAAAATTGCATTTCCCCTACTACCCTTTTCGTCTCGTCTCAGATAACTTAGACAGGGAACACTGTTTTGTTTGCTTGGTTCGAAAGACTACTGTAATGAACATTCTGCCTAGATGGCTGCTATCTTTTTGCTTGTTTCCTGCACCATCTCAGTGACACTCCATTTCCCACCCTTTTAAAGTTATTTGACCTCATCAGCTGCAGCTGCCCATTGCATTAGAACTTTAGGTCTAATTTGAGAATCTAGTTGTTGACTTGTGGTGGAAGACTCCTTTTGAAAGTGCTTTAGAAAGTGATAAATGTTTGACGTCGAGGTCGTAAACAAGTTGTTCCAGTCTAAACACAATTATCCAAGTAAAATGTCCTTTTGTTGCATATTTTTTCATCATTTTTATACTGTGTTCCTATTCACAAGTCACAACTTCTGTATTCATTTTTTGATGACTTTAAATAAAGTCCTCTTCTCTTCCGGTAAGAAAAAATATCAATTTATTCTATTGTCATCAACTAATAATTACTACATTATTAAACAGCGGTGGAACAGGTATCAATGCGATTTTTCCCACCCCTACTTTGTGGAGTGGCGTTGAGTAAAAAGTTCCATTACTAAAGGAAAGACCACCAAATCATATTACGTTTTGATTAATGGAAAGAAAGTTCCATTCTAAAAAGTTCCACCTCAGACAATCTTTGATTACGTTTTTATATATTAATGTATTAACAATATTTTACTTTTATAAAAAACTGTTACATTTGTCTCATCATAAATTTCAAAATATGAATATTATTTTTATAATATTCTTTATTTCTAATAATTTATTATGTTATTTTGGGCCTATTATAATTCACTTTTGGGAATTAATTACTAATTTGGACTTAACTTACTTTATTATTAGGTAAGGATGAAATTGGAAGGAATTTTAACTCTTGGGGCCAATTTGCAAGAAGTGGATAGTTGAAGGGAAACCAAAATCTTCAAATCAGCACCTTAGCTATCTAGTTGAGCCGTATGCCATCTCCCTAAGAATAGAATTGGAAATTCCAAGCTCAAGCCTTCGAACATCATGTGTATTCCTTCTATGACCAACGGAATTTCAGCCTTGATCGAATTTAATTGTGTAGCCGTTGGGGATTAACTTCCCAAATTTGAAGGCCTAAGAATCGACCCTATTCGTCCTTTATAAACGCACCAGCACCGCAGCAGGAAGGGGGGAGAACAAAGGTGAAAACAGGGGAGAAAGAGAGAGGAATTCAGCCGCTTATTCATCGATATCTCCGGTTTTTCATTCTCTATTGATTAGTTAGTTTAATTTCAGAATTTCTAGTTTTTGTATTTCAATTTCAGAACTTTGCATTCTTCCTTTTAGGGAAAGTAAAATGGAAGAAAAATCACTTTTCAATAGCATAAACATGAAAGTGAAAGTTCTGAAATTGAAATACAAAAACTAGAAATTCTGAAATTAAACTAACTAATCAATAGAGAATGAAAAAACCGGAGATGATCGATGAAGAAGCGGCTGAATTCCTCTCTCTTTCTCCCCTGTTTTCACCTCCGTTCTCCCCCCCTTCCTGCCGCGGCGCTGCTGCATTTATAAAGGACGACGAATAGAGTCGATTCTAATAATTTTATTTAATAAATTTCCCTCATAATTTTTTTTAGTCAAAGTTATACATTGTTAAATGTGATAACTTGACTGTTACACTTATTTAAGAAAGGAGACAGTATGATCTAAGTCTAAAAATGCATTTTTTTGTAAGGGAGGTTTACCTAAATAGGTGTAGATAAAAGGATAATTGCAACAATAGGAGTTTAAAGTTTAAATTCCCAAAATATGACTAAGGCTCCGTTCGGCACGCCAATTCAGCTATAAAAGAGCTGAAATTTTGAAGGTTCAGTCAATTTTAATTAAAGTGCCTATGTTTGGTTGAAAGGCTGAAACGGGCTTAACCTGAAATATATGGGCTGAACCCTAACGTTTAGGCTCGCGACGTTTATATTCAGCCGCATCCCTCCAGACTTCACGTTCCCATCGTGTCCTTCATCTCACGTAAAACCTCTCCTCTGATTTCTTACCCAGCCGATTGCCAAGGTATGCATTCTTTACTTCTCCCAATTCCTTGTTGATAACACCTATTTCCTCCGTAATCTCCAAGGTATCAACTTTTATGCTTTATGATTCTCTATTTGTTATATGCTTTCGCTTCTCTACTGTAAATTAAAAAAAAATATGAATGAGGAGCTCACCTGAGTAGCTATAAAGAATGCCATCTGTCAACGTTAAAAAATATTGGTATGAAAAAAAATCTGGTTTGAATTTGTTTTTAGTAATAGAAATTCTGGAATCTGGTTTGAATTATTAGTTACGTAGTATAATACTTACGTTGTTGTGATTTTTGCTCTTTATCCACTATGTTATTACTATTATGATGAAAGGTAAAAGATAGGAAAATCAGATTGATGAAAATTTAGCAACTTGCAATAGCAAATTAAAAGGGTGGTACTTGCTGATAAAAAAATGCAGAGTAATAAAATGAGTTGAGGTTAAATTGATCTTTCATCAAGTTTCAAACGAGATTATTAATCAATCAACTTGTTGAGTTGTCATTGTTGATAAAAGTAAGCATACGTTTTTTTAAAAATAAAAATCACTAACTACTCAAATTTATCCTGCAGTCTAAGGCCTATAAGGAAGTACTATTTTGAGCTCAGTATGTGAACGTGTAGTTTACAGTTGTATATTGATTAGATGTGGTTTCACCATTCTCATATTTGTTGTATTATAAGTTCTTTGATTTCACACCGTTGTAATGAAAATATTTATTTTTTTCATTTGCTATATTATCGGTTGAGCCTTTCAGATGTCATCTAAGAAAGATGAAGGGGGTTACTTTATGTGGTCAGATGAAACTGTTGCAATTTTTAATGAAATATGCATCCAATTCATTCTTAAGAATGGGAGGGGACAACAGTTTAGGTGGAAGGAGATGCAAGCTTTATTTGAGGAGAGAACGAAAAGGAAATGTTCTTTTAAATGTTTGAAAAATAAGTTTGACTTTATGAAAAAAGATTGGCGATTGTGGAAGTCACTGAAACGTGATGAGACTGGATTGGGTTGGAATACGGCCATTGGGACGTTGGATTGTTCAGATGAGTGGTGGAGTAAAAAAATTAAGGTATGTATTTTAGTTAGCTTATTACCTTGAATTGGGATTATTATAATATTTATTTTCAAGTAAGAATTTTCTCTTTAGGAAAAGGCAGAAGTAAAGAAGTTCAAGAATAAAGGAATTCCAAATAACATTGAAGAGCAATGGGATCAAATATTTGGGGACTCTGTAGCAACTGGAGTAGAATGTGTGGCTCCAACTGCTACAATTGTGGAGAACAATAATCAAGAAAATCATCAAGTCACTGTCAACTTGGAGGATAACCGTGATCCTTATGAGGTGTATAAGAGTTACCATGACGAACTAGATCTGGGTAATTTTTTTCAAGACTTTGTGCAAGAGGTTAGTGGAAATGTTCCTTCTGTTGCTACAGTTACCACTAATGAAGATGTAAAGACCAGTGGCACTAGTAAGAAGTGCAAACTAAGGCAGTCTATGGGATCAGTGAAACTTAGTGAAAATTTAGAGAGGGGGAATACATGTCTTCAAGCAATTGTGCGTCTCTTGACAAAAAAAGAGAAGGTTGTTGATGATTGTGCAAGTGTTGGTGATGTCATGGAAATTATGACTAGAATGGCTGATAATGGCGGGCTGGTGAGGAGTGGTGACTTATGGTTTCACAACATTTGTATTCTGGAGAATCCTACTAGAAGACAATTCTTCATAAAGTTTAAAGATGACGATGAAAGGCTCAACTGGTTGAAGTTTATGCACGCAAAAGAAATGTTTTAAATACCAAGTCATACACCTGAAGGTATGTTTTATTGTCAATTTATTAAACTCAGAGGCATAATTTTAATCATATTTTTAAAATTTATGTAGGTAGATATTACTTGGTGGATAAAGGCTATCCGGATCGAAAAGGATATCTTGTTTCTTATCCCAAGCTACGATACCACTTAGAGCAATTTGAAAATGAAGCACCAACAAATGCTCAAGAAGCTTTCAATCGCTCACACTCATCTCTTCGTAGTTGCATAGAGCGTTCTTTTGGGGTTTTGAAAAAGAGGTGGGAGATCTTATCAAGAATGCTTATGTTTAGCATTAAAACGCAGATAGATGTTATTATGGCAACATTTGCTTTGCACAACTATATTCGAAAATTCTCTAGTGATGACATGATATTTGAGGTTCTCGAGCGCCATCCAGATTTCATACCACGTGATGATCTTGTTGACATTCATAACTCAACTTCAAGTGCCATCAATTCACAAACAGAAAGCTGTAGTGAGATGAAGGAACTTCGCAACAATATAACATCCTTGATATGGACTAACAGAAATTAAATATTTTCGCTCCTTATTAGTCAATTATGGTGATGTTCATGTTTACATGTTTATTTATTACAACTATTTCTAACTTAAATGTTAATTTTATGGTTTTTTATTTTGTATGGTATACACGAATGTTGTATTTTAGAATTCAATACATGAATGAGATAATCTTATCAGGACGGATGGAGTATTATATTATATTATATTGTATTGTATTGTATTGTATTGTATTGTATTGTATTGTATTGTATTGTATTGTATTGTATTGTATTGTATTGTATTGTATTGTATTGTATTGTATTGTATTGTATTGTATTGTATTGTATGGTATGGTATGGTATGATATGATATGATATGATATGATATGATATGATATGATATGATATGATATGATATCATATCATATCATATCATATCATTGTATTGTATTGTATTGTATTGTATTGTATTGTATTGTATTGTATTGTATTGTATGGTATGGTATGATATGATATGATATGATATGATATGATATGATATGATATGATATGATATGATATCATATCATATCATATCATATCATATCATATTATATTATAAATATCAATATCGTTACAATAAATATATTTTATTCTATTAATAATTATGTGTCCTTTAATGTAATTTCATATTATCCCTGCACTTGTTCAGCTCTTTTTGCCAAACGGGTTTACTCCATTCAGCTAGCAATTCAGATTCAGCATTTTCAAATTCAGTTCCAGACAATAGTTTCTGTTTCAGACAATAGACCCTATTTCAGACATTAGTCTTCAGTTCCAGCTTGTTGTGCCAAACATAGCCTAACTCTTCCTATTCTACCCTTTCCTTTATCCTTGATAATAGGATTTTTAAACAATCATTACAAAATATAAAAAAAATCAAAATAAAAAAATAAAATTGTAAGAAATAATTAAAAAATATATAGACCCCAACCACCACCTCAGCCACCTTCCAGCACCGCCACCTCCGATCGTCGGAAAAGATTGTCAAGTTGGGGAAAACATGTCATCATGATGGCAATTTTGAAGAGAAAGCAAAAGAAAGCTGGATATTTTCAAAGAGTAAAAATGTCATCTTTATGACATTTTCACAAGATATGTGGCATTTTTTTTACACAAGATAGCATTTTTTTCGCGACCAGAGTCGGTGGTGCTGGGAGGTAGAGGACGTGTTGGCAGTGACCTACATATTTTTTTAATATTTTTTAGGTGTTTTACTTTATTTTTTGGACTTTTTTAAAAAATTTAAATAATTTTTTTATTTTTAATTTATTTTTATTTTTATTTTATTTTTTTATGTTTTCATTATTATTTTATAAATATTTTATTATTTTTTATATTTTTATTATAAATAAAACAATGATTTTCTTATTAATAAAATAAATCAATTGGAAATGATATGAAGGGGGTAGAATGAGAAATCTAATAAATATATTAGTCCTATTTTGAGAATAAAATGATTGTACTCCTATTGATGAATTTTGAGCTTATTTTACTCCTACTAAGGGCTAATACCGGTTTTTGTAAACTTGAAACTTTACTTGATTTAGTTTTATTTTTTGCGGAATCTTTTTACACTATATACCAATCTGGTTTCGTCCTTCTACAGCCTAATAATAGAATGGAAGCGTAAAGTAAAAAGAAATTGTTTAGAATAAGATTAAAACATGGACAAAGTATACACTTACAATCACTTATATATTTATTTTCAAAATAAAACTTATTTTGTCATATTGATTAAAAGTGAATGACACTTTTATTTATACACTTGGTCTGTGTTTTAGTACCCGCACGGGTAGCTAAGTTGGTCGAGTGGTGGGAAAATTGGATCAAATGACCAAGATTCGAAATCCGCAGCGGCCGTGTGGAGGTTACAGAACCTGAAATAAGGCTGGATCTCTGCTATGCATGTGTATAAGGCCTACCGCCGCTTTGCTGACTGAGTCACCGTGAATAATCTTCCCACCATCCTGTTGGGTCGGGTGGGGGCCTTGGGGTTGGGCATTCAACCTTTTGGACCAAGGTGTGTGTTTTAGTCATGCTTAATTAAAGAATTATCTCTAATATAGATCGATAGCATAGGAGAAGCTATGATAAAAATCAAATTAGTGTACGTTCGCGATAACATATGCATTATATGGTGCTATATATAACAGTGTAACTACTTCCATAATTCTCAAGTCTCATCCCACAACCAATTTAATAGCAGGTGTTCGATGATAACCGATGGTGGTGACGGGACAAGTCAATAAACTAAGAAGGGGAGGTGGGTGTAGTCCAATGGATGACCATCCATCCTCAAGTCTCTCCTTTGTGGGAGGTCTTGGGTTAAATTCCCATCAAGGGAGATGAGGGAGGTCTTGCTCCCAATGATTCTCCATACCTTCACGGAGTTGCTCAGCAGTTGAGAAGGGAGATGATGATGTAAGTCCTGGTGGATCCGTCCTTTGGAGCCAGTACTGACGATGCTGACTGTGATCAGATCCGAACTTAACTGTCTAGGAGCTTTGGAGGGTAATTCATAGACTCCAGGATTATGAGAGCGTAAGCCCCGACATTTGGATTATCAAAAAAAACTAAGCAGGGGCGGAGCCGCGGAGTAAACGGTCATCCTAGATTTCGTTCCACCCCAATTTTAAAAAGTTTATACTCCGTATTTATTAGTGTAAACATTTCGTGTAAAAATTATCTAAAAAATTGTTTGTATGAGACTAGCTCAATATATAGTTGTGACTAGGGATGTTATTAATTAGACTGAAATTTTACTTATATGGTTTGATATGATCTGATCTGATTTGTTTAAGTCTGTTCTGGTCTGCTTGATTTGGTCCGGTCCGGTCTGGTAAATGCATGGTCTTGTCTTCGTGTATTTTATAACTATGAACGTCCAGTCAGGTCTGGTCTTGTCTTGTTTAATTTAGTCTGTTTAAGTATGATTTGATCCGGTCTAAACCAGTCCAAGTAAAGACTCTTACCTCCCTAAAAGTAAGGATCATTTTAAGCATTAATTATCACTTTTTAGTTATAATCAATTAAGAATATTACAGTTGAGTTAATTATGTATTTTCGGTCTTACGAGTTTTTCAATTCCAATCCTATATAAAAAAAAATGATATTTTGTGGCTAGCTATATGCAATTCAAGTAACTTTTCTTTTATTAAGAATGGCATATATAAATAAGAAAAGAAGGAATTTACCACACGTACATTAAAGATAATCATGAAGCAATTAAGTAAATAACCAAACACTTTCATATATGTAACTTCTGATACTTATTTCACATCATATATATCATAAAAATACTATCATGCCCCCCTTATTTTACCACACATTTAAATTATTTATATAATACATGCATGCAGAAAGGGTCGGTCGTGCATCAATTAAAGCTTAGGATCTTCAATCTTCCAAACCCTTGAACTCAGATTCCATCACAAAGTGAGTCTCATCACTTACATATCCGCCGCCATGCCTTTCACTCACCAACTTCTTCTCACTAGAAGACACCTCCACTTTCTCTTCTTGCAGCTGCACAACCTCATTTACACGGCCGCCGCCGTTACCATGGCGGCCAAGGTGGTGGCTTTCATGGTGTTTTCTACCGAAAAGGTGGTGGAGGCCGCCGTGGTGTTTTTCAGGGACAGGAGGGGCGGAGATGCAGCATGGGTTAGCAGCAGGCCTCACCATTTGCATGGATGAAGAGTCTTCATTGTAGTTGTAAGACACTTCTACTTCCTCTTGTTCTCTGAAGCTCATTTTCTTGTGGGCACTCCCAGCAAGGATTTCACTTTGGATAACCATTTCTTCTTCTATGGAATTTTTTTGAGTTGGATCAATCTAATGTGTTGGTGGAAATTTGTGAGTTCATTTGATGTATTTATAGGGCTATAATGGGATATTGGGATTCCTATTTGGATAAGAAATAATGGATTTTGGCAAATTTTAGAATCTTTTTTTTTCATTTGCAAAATGGAGATGAGAATATTTATCTGTGATCACTACTAATTTGAGTGCGCATCCAGCTTAATGACAATGTGACTGATGAATAACATTCTTTAATTTATGATCGAGTTTTCTCAATATATCTATTCTTTGGTATTGAGACAGAAGTGAGTGATATGGTTTTTTAAAAAGTATAATTATGTGATTGATAATGAATTGATAAAGTGAGAATAAAGTAATATTGAATTAGAACCACACAAATGTTACCAAATATGTTATGCGACAATAATAGAGGGATATCGAAAAATGAAAAATGAGACAATCATAGGAGACAGAGGAAATAATACTTTTATGAGTTTTAATTAATGAAACTAGTAAAGTACATACTCACTCCGTATTTAAAAGTTCCCTACACTTTCCTCTTCAGGTTGTATTTAAAAGTTTTCTACAGTTTCATTTTTTGTAAGTTTACCCTTTATAAACTACTCAAACCCATACTTTATCATCTTTTTTATCTTCTCTTTCATACTTTCACACATTCTCTCATATTTTTTCTACATTATTCACTACATCTACTACTTTACTCCTTCAATAATGTGTCCAAGCTAATAAACTGAACATTAAAATATGGAGGGAGTATAATTTTGATGTAAACGTGATAGGTAGGAATGAAAAACCCATAATAATACTCGGTATAATATTGCAAAACAATAATACGTAGGAATGAAATAACAATATAGCAAATTAAAGCTAATTAAAGCAAAACTAACACCTATTTGATAACCCTTGTTTTTATGTAAATTATTATCAACTAACTATTTGTCTATTTATAAACACAATTAGTAAGGTTTAAACTATTTTCTGGCTGAATTTGCTAATAGAACAATTTTAGCTATTATTTCATTTGACTTTTTCTTTAAGTTTTTAATAAAATATATTTCAAAAATGCTTTTTTTCTCACAACTCTGCCGATTACTTAGTAGCTTCATCCATAATTTCATCAATTTTAATATATTTACTTTGATTAAGCTGTTGCGGGTTCTAATAAAATTAAAAATATTAAATGTCCAAAATACGGAGTATACAAATACAATAAAAGGCTATGGGGTTTGGGAAAACACGATTACCAATTGGGATTAGATTAGACATGCAAAGAATGGAGCGAGATATCACACATGGGATGGTTGGTGCGTGTATTCTAATGGATGACCATCTACAATTCTACCCTGTAGTCTCTCCTTTGTGGGAGGTCTTGGGTTCAATTCCCACCAACGGAAGATGAAGGAGGTTTTGTTGGCAATGATTCTTTTTACTTTCACGGAGTTGCTCAGCGGCTGAGAAGGGAGAAGATGATAATGAAGGTAGAGAGTTCGTATGATGGGAGGAGCAGCCTGAAAGATGATGTAAGTCCTGCTGTATTCGTCCTTTAGAGCCAATACTGACGAGATTGACTGTGATCAGATCCGGATTTAACTGTCTAAAAGATTTAGAAGGTATTTTATAGAATCCAGGATTATGAGAGTGTAAGTCTCGATAATTACATTATATATCACACATGGGAAATACTCCGTACATACATTTCTCCACAATTTAGAATCTACCTATCTTTGCTACCACCTCCCCCAAATCTATATGCATGTTTATTATATTCTGCGCCCTTAGTCCCTTCGGAATTGAGGATGGAATATGTTTTCTGCAAATTGATTGCATTATTAGGAGCATGGCCATGTATCTAGGGGTGGATCCAAGAAAGTCATCTTGGAGGGTGAAAATATTTTTGGGGGGGTTCAAAATATTTTTTGGGAGGTTCAAAATTATTTTTTGGGGCGAAAATATTTTTGGGGGTTCTAAAAAAAATTCTTGTTGGGGGGCGGTAGCCCCCCTGGGTCTGTACTACGGTCCGCCCCTGCATGTATCAAACATGGTCATTTACCAAACACGGCCTTGGTCCTTTCAGAATTGAAAGATGGAATTCGGTGAAACCGTTAAAAATTGGCTGAAACGCCGTTTACCAAACATGACTGGATTCCGTGTTTCGAAATTTCTCGCATTGGTTAATGATAGTCATGCCTGATAATGATTATTTCACTCGGATCAGATTAGATAGACTCCAACGATTTGGTAAATTGGTATTTAATCGGAAAATAAAGAATTTAAAATAAATAAAATAGCCAAGAAAATAGAAATGAGAAGGAACAGAAAGTCAAAGCTTGCGCAACGCACAATTTCCTTAAAGTCTATTTGTTGTCTCTCACGGTGCTAGGAGCGTTTAGCGATAGTTTACCAGGATACGATGGCTACGAACAACCCGTATGAGCACATAATCGGTTGTTCCAACGAACGGAAACAAAGTCTGAACAACGGAGATTCTTCCAAAAGCTTGAGGCGCGTTTAAGCTGAAAACAACGTGTATACAGTGAATATTTTCGTCTGTTGTTGAAAATTAAGGTATTAAAGGCTGTAATGGTTCAAAAGCATTCTCCTGAAGCGATTCTGCCGGTCCACAGATTTTTGGACAAAATGTTCGCGGGTCGACCGTTCACGCAAGTCACGGTTTTTTTTCTCCATTTTCGAGATTTGATCGACACTCACTCCCGCACGTGAAGAAAGCCTTTTCACCTAGAAATTTTAACTCCTTCAAAGAGGGTCACCTTTATAAGGGGGTTGAAATCCTTTGGGTTTTCCGGTGTGGAATAAATCACACTAGAATCTCATCATTTTCACAGGTTTAATTTCTTCATTTCAATGAGTGAACTTCGAGAATCAATTTCTCATTCACCCTTTATCCGTTGGTAACTATATATAGAAGTAGAAATGCTCCAGACTTGACACACGTACAATTCAAGCAGTGGATTACTTAAAAAGGAAGATTTACAAATTTAGTCCTATAACTTTGGGCTGTTATTATTATTGGTCCTACAACTTTAATCGCTTGAAAATTTGGTCTTGTGACTAATAAATCTTTTCAATTGAAGAAAATCCGATGTCGGGACATCTTTTCCGGTATACTATAGCCGAAAAGTGTAATTTTCATGGAAAAGGTCCTTAAAATCACAAATATTAATTAATTATAGCACCAAATTTGCGAATGAATAAAGTTGTGGGACTAATAATTAAAACAGCCAAAAGTTATGGTACAAAAATTGCAAATTTCTCTTAAAAAAAGTAGCAAAGAACAAAATAAATTATACGGAGTAACTCTCTTTGTCCTCCGAATAAATGTTCCCATTTGACTATGTATGGAGAAAAAACAATTACCTAGTAAAACATATACTCCGTATTAAGTTTATAAATAAGAGTAACTATGTATGTATTGTCCTAAAATAGAAGTTATTTAGTTTTATCAAAAGAATAAACAGATAATTCTTCTTCTTGGAGAGTGCAGTGTGGTGGTATTTAAGGGAGGCTAAAGGGTCAAATAGGTGCATGAACTAACTTAAAGTGTTCAATTAGCCCCCATTTAAGAGGTTCTGTCCGGCCGTCGACAATTGGGGCGGTTCTCGATGGAATTTTTTGATGAAATTTTTTGAGCATCTTCTTCATTAAATCTAGTTTACCCATATCAAATTTAAACTAAAAATTAAATCGGGAAGGCAGTCAAATGATTTTCCGAAATGTACTGTGTTGTTTAAGTGTGCAGTTATCTTCAAAAAATCATTTGACTGCTTTTCCGGTTGATTTTTTAGCTAAAGTTTGGTATGAGTAAACTAGACTTAATGAAGAATATGCTCAAAAAATTTCATCAAAAAATTCCACTGGGAACCGCCCCAATTGGCGACGACCGAGCAGAACCTCCTATATAAGGGGTTGAGCTAATTGAACACTTTAAGTTAGTTGATGTACCTATTTAAACATTTAGCCTTTAAGGGAAAGGACTATTCGCTTAAAAATATGCGATATTATGGATTTATGGTCATATTGAAAGAATATTATCATTAAATACTTTCTGGGTGACTTTTATTTATCAAAGAGTAAAGAATACCGATAAAATCACATAGTACGTACATAGTATTATTTTCCTTAAAATTGAAAAAGGGATAATTTTAGTATTGATGAAATAGGAAATTGTAAAAACCGTTAAGACTATATAGAGATATAGGATGTGTTTTATCATGCATATAATGTAATACGGAGTAGTATTGTATTATTGGGCTAATTTTTATTTAAAAAATCACAATAAACTTTTAATCTATACTATATTCATTTGTATTGTATCTAGTGTACTGATGTGTGCTCTCCCCAATAACAAAATTTTCTTGATCCGCCCCTCTAAAAAGATAGAGTTAATTATCAAAATAGGACTAAAAGTCATTCACTTTTCACAAATAGGACCAAAAAATGAACTATGTTTGCATAGGACTAATTATGTGTACCTTGGACAATTATACCCTTATAGCTATTAAAATGTTTTAATTCCTAATAAAATAATAAAAAATAATAAAAATTCGTAAAAAATACTAAAAAATTAAGAAAAACGTTTCGATATAAAAAATTTAATTAATTTTTTTTCCAAAAAATTAAAAAAATTAAAAAACATTAAATAAAAATAAAAACTCAAAAAAAAAAATCGCCGCCGCCTCTGCCGCCTCAGCACCACCACCTCCAGTCACCAGGGGAAAAAATGCCAAGTTCATTACGAATGCCATATTACTGGCAGAAAAAAATGAAAATGTTGGCATTCGAAAAGAGAAATATGCCACTTTTTGGCATTTTCAGAAAAAAATGGCATTTTTCTGGGAAAATGGCATTTTTTTCATCGGCCAGAGGTGGTGGTGCTGGGAGGTAGTACAGGCGGTGGGAAAGGCATCCATATTTTTTTAAATTTTTTTTACAGAGTTTTACTATTTTTTATTATTTTTTTTAAAAATAAAATTATTTAAAACATTTAATTATGGCTTTTGACTATTTTGAATTCATATTTAACGGAAGGGTAAGAATGGAATGCAAAAATAAGTATGTTTCCAATAGGACTCATATGATCCTATTTTGGAATAAAAACATAGCAAGTCCTATTTTAGATTTTTGCCATAGTTTTAGTCCTATTTGAACTAATTTCTAAAAGATAAATAGCTTAACTCACACGGACGTCACGGAATATGAAGTATATATAGAATAAACATTTCTTACGTAATCAAATATAATCCTTTTATTTTTTGCAATCAAATATATTTCACAATTATTCAAGCTAGAGGGCAAGGAAATACATGAAACTCTTAGCTTATTGGATCTTTTTATTGTACGTAGTTTAGCACCATGCATTCTTAATTTATTTTAGAACAAATTTATTTTACACCATGCGCATGCAGAAATGGTCAGTCGTACGTGATTGAGTGAAGTTTGAGTCTTCAATCATCCAAACCCTTAAACTCAAAGTGATGGGTGCGCCCGTTTGGAGTGCCCGAATACTTCAAGGTTTCAGTATTCCTATAATAGTAGGGTTCCCTAGCAGCGTGAGAAGCAAAGTGAGTCTCACTTCCATATCCCTCCCTATGCCCTCCTCCACTCAACACCCTCTGCTCATGACTAGAGATCTTTACTTTCTCTTCCACAACCTCATTCACATGGCCGCCATTACCGTGGTGGTGAAGCCCGTGGCGTTCGTGGTGGTTTCCACCGAAAAGGTGGTGGCCGCCGTGGTGTTTTTCGGGGACATGGTGGTGGCTTTCGTGGTGGTTTCCACTGAAAAGGTGGTGGCCGTCGTGGTGGTGGTTTCCACTGAAAAGGTGGTGGCCGTCGTGGTGGTGGCTGTGGTTACCCGGCCTCACCATTTGCATGCTTGAGGAGCCGTTGCTGTGAGAGAAGGTGTTGTTGCAGTAGGACACTTCCTGATCTTGTTCTGTGTAGCTCATTTTCTTGTAGGCACCCCCAGGCAACATTACTTCATTCTTGATAACCATTTTTTCTCTAAATTGTAGAAAGTTGGTGGTGATTTAGAGTAATGGGGAAAGTTGATGGTGGACATTTGCATTTGCATTGGATGTATTTATAGTGTTTGCAATGGCATTCCTACTTCAATAAAGAATAATGGAATTTGATTATTTGTCCAATTAAATTATAGATACTTTTCTTTTGCAAATTGCAATATATGGAGATAGAGGAGCATATTAATCGGTGATCACTATTAGCTTGAGTGGGCATCTAGCTTAATTAATTAGAATGTGATCTGACTGAATAATATTCTTTGGGAATTTTCTTGATTAGCCAGTGCCACTTGTAAATACAAAAGAAATTGTTCAAAATAAGTTAAAGGAATTTTAGTCATATTTAGAATTTTTTAGATAATTCAAATGCTCTTTGAACGAGCAATTATGTGTGTTTGATAAGTTTGTATTAACTTTAATTAAAAGTATACAAAATAGACTTGTCGCAAGGCTAATTGCAACCATTAAGTGAAAAGTGGAAACATGTTAAGAGTTGGGTTCCATCCTAAAAGGTCAACCTGATAGGAGGAGTAGTCCATGTCTTAATATAGCACTTCGTTGACTCAACCATTTCCGATGTGGGATTTAACACCCCTCCTCACGACCAGATTCTTTGTCTGGATTGTGCCGTCATTCTTTTTTTTTCGTCAATCCGTCATTATCTTTTTTTTTATAATCGTGTCAATCATTTTTTCATAAGGGGGCCCACACCATGGTTATGGATCGGTTTGGCTCTGATACCATGTTAAGAGCTGGGGTTTCATCCTAAAAGATCAACCTGATAGGAGGAGTAGCTCATGTCTTAATATAACACTTCGTTGACTCAATCATTTCTGATGTGGGATTTAAACAAAACATCATGTTTTCATCTGTGAATGTGTGATACCATAATAAAAAAAGGTATGGCATTGGGTAGCTAGCACCAGGGGGGAACTTATCCCCCATTCATTACAGCTAAAAAGAAAAAAAAGGGAGGATGCAGGAGAAACAGATGAGAAAGTGTGAGAATAATGGAACAGGATGCTCTCTAAGGAGCCCTGGCAGATATATTTATAATAATAAAGTTTAATGTCAAGTACAATACTAATCGTGTAATAATTCTATTACACCCCCTCAAGCTGTGCGGGGGAAACAACGCGCAGGTTGTCTTTCAAAAAATGAAAACGTTGAGTAGATAGACTCTTAGTAAAAATATCTGCCAACTGTAGATGTGTAGGAACATGCTGAACAATCAGATCTCCATGAGCAACACGTTCGCGAACAAAATGATAATCAATCTGGATATGCTTGCTACGAGCATGCTGGATAGGATTTGCAGTCAAATAGGAAGCTGAAATATTATCACATAATAGATGCACTGCTTCCGTGATGGGGTAGCCGAGCTCAAAGAGAACAGATCTAATGTGGAGTGTATCCTGAACTATATATGCAATAGCACGATTCTCTGCCTCTGTAGATGACTTTGAGACGGTGGGCTGTTTCTTAGATTTCCAAGAGATTAAATTAGGACCCAAGAATACAGTAAAACCAGTGGTAGATCGTGAGGTATCAAAACATCTAGCCCAGTCCGCATCAGAATAGGCAACAACACATGTGGGTCGAGTAGAACGCTGAAGCCACAACCCATGATCACGTGTCCCCTGCAAGTACCTGAAAATTCTTTTGACTGCAAGTAGATGAGTAGTACGAGGTGCATGCATGAACTGTGAAACTAAGTGTACCGCATAAGTAATATCTGGCCTTGTCAAAGTTAAATATTGTAACACACCTACCATGCTGCGGTACTCAGTAGAGTCCGCAACTAACTCACCATCAGAAAGAGACAGGGTAGTACGAGAGGCCAATGGGGTGCGAACGGGTTTAACCGTATGGAGATGGAAACGTGTGATAAGATCAGAGACATATTTGTGTTGAGAGATAAACAGACCTTTAGGAGAACGAATTGCCTCAAGACCTAAGAAATAATGGAGGTTACCCAAATCCTTCATGGCAAAGTGTTGAGAAATGACCGATATAAACTGGGTAATGGTAGACTCAGAATTGCCAGTAATAATAATATCATCTACATATAATAATAAATAGATGATAGAATTATGCTGACGAAAAATGAATAATGAATTATCAGATTTACTACAGATAAAATTATGTTGCAGCAAAAAACTACTAAACCGATGAAACCAAGCCCGTGGTGCTTGCTTAAGACCATAAATAGCCTTGCACAAACGACATATATGATTAGGAAATTGAGGATGAATGAAACCACGTGGCTGACACATATAGACTTCTTCTGTCAGGTGACCATGTAGAAAGGCATTTTTAACATCAAGTTGACGAATTACCCATCCAAAAGATACAGCTAATGTAAGAACAATACGAACAGTGGTGGGTTTAATGACAGGACTAAATGTTTCAGAAAAATCAATACCAGCCTGTTGATTAAACCCTTGAGCAACTAGTCTAGCTTTATGGCGCTCCACAGAACCATCAGAATGATATTTTGTTTTATAAATCCACTTACATCCAACAATATTCTTAGTGTTGTTAAAGGGCACCAGATCCCAAGTATTATTATTAATGAGTGCATTAAATTCGTCAGTCATTGCTTCTCGCCATTTTAAATGATTATTAGCCTCAGTAAAACATGTGGGATCCGCAGGAATAACAATTGTACTTAAATTAAATATGGTTTTAGGTTTAAAAATGCCAGCCTTGGCACAGGTATGCATGGGGTGGTGATTAGTGACAAGTGCAGGCGGGATGGAATTTGGTGGAGGGGAACTAGAGTCGGAATGAGGAGTATCACTGTGGGCAGACGGAGTGGAATGTGGAGACCTAGCATCAGACTCTAAATGGAAGGAGGCGGTGGATGACCGGTTGGACAACGGCGTGGAGGTGGTCGACTGAGAGGAAGAACACGGCGAAGAGATGGGTGAGGTAGGTGTCCTATTGGCAGTTTCAAAAAATGATGGCGGAGGGTTGGCATGGGTTGTGACTGAAACAGAGCGCAGTTGGTTGACTGGAAGTTGAGCCGGTGGAGGGGGGTCAGCCGTGTAACTGGTGAGGGGCATGGTAAGGGGTGGTTGGTTTGGTTGAAGGGATGGCCTAGATGGTGGAAGGATTTTAAATGGATAAGTATCCTCGTGGAACCTAACATGACGACTAACATAGACACAACCGGTAGTAGGATCAAAACAACGATAGCCCTTATAGCCAGATGCATAGCCAAGAAAAACACATTGGATAGACCAAGGGGAGAGTTTGTTAGCCGAAGTGGCTGAAAAAATCGGATAACAGGCGCAACCAAAAACACGCATAAAAGAATAGTCAGGAACACGGTGAAAAAGTTTTTGATATGGAGAAATACCCTTTAGTGTAGGAGACGGTAATCTATTAATGATATATGCAGCTGTGAAAATAGCATCAACCCAATATTTACTAGGAACAGATGCCTCAAGAAGCATAGTCCTAGTTAATTCAAGAAGATGACGGTGCTTTCTTTCAGCAACCCCATTTTGTTGAGGAGTGTCAGGGCAAGATTTTTGAAAATAAATGCCATTATCAGAAAAGAATTGTTGCATAGTATGATTAACAAATTCACCGCCCCCATCACTTTGAAAATTTTTAATTTTTTGATTAAAAAGATTTTCAACTAAAGCTTTAAAATTTTTAAAATGCACCGCTACTTTACTTTTGTGACACATGGGATATATCCAAGTAAACCGAGAAAAATCATCGATAAAACAGACATAATATTTAAATCCTAGATTAGATCTAATAGGAGATTGCCATACATCAGAATGAATAAGTTGTAGAGGAATAGAAGAATTATGACAAGCATCCGTAAAGGGAAAACGTTGTGATTTTCCTAACCGGCACGCAACACATTCATGCGTAAAAGGCGTATGAGTACATAAAAATTGTTTTCGTTTAAGAAATTGTAAAATAGAATCACCACAATGACCTAATCTACGATGCCACACAGGGCTAGAAACCAAAACAGATGCTAAAGCTACGGATGGAGAATCTAACAAACGGAGAGGATAGAGAGGTCCACTACTGGTAGCTCGTAGAAGCACCGTCCCCGAGGCCTTGTCCTTAATCAAAAAGGAATTTTTATCAAAAATGACTGTACAGTTATTATCTGCGCATAGCCGCTTAATAGATATTAAATTATATTTTAACTAAGGCACATGATAAACAGATTTTAAAGTGAGAGAACGACCAGAAGACGGTAATGCAACATCACCAACATGACAAATGGGTAAATGGGCACCATTAGCGACACTAACAGAATTGTAGCCAGGGTAAGCAGATTTATTCAGCAAAATACCTTCAGATGCAGTCATGTGAGCAGAAGCTCCAGAATCAGGATACCATATAGCCGAATTAGATTCTCCAGGAGTAGTCAACAGAGCAGGTGCAGAGGGCTGAGTAAAACGCGAGGGACAGGTAATGGCAGAATGACCTGCAGAAAAACAATTTTGACACACAACGGGATGGGGAACAGAACCAAGAATGCCCCCATCTGATGGTAAGCCTGCAAACTTAGAGTTAGTAACACCAACATGTAATGCATTAATATTTAAATGTGACATGGCACAATTACAAATGACAGTACCCGTAGTTTGCACACCCCCTGGATATGGAGCATGCCTAACTGGAACGAAGGATCCACCCCCTGCCGCGGTGTAACCCGCGTGAGGCTGATGCGGGTACGAAAAACCGGGCGGCACCTGCTGTCCTCAGCCTCTGCCCCTGCCACCACGCCCCCTACCGCGACCGCGTCCACGGCCTCGTTGCGGCTGACCAGAGGAGCGCTGCTGCTGTCCACCCTGCGGATGATGGCCTTGCATCTGCTGGTTCGTTTGGGAGTTGGTGGGCTGGCCGGGAAAGGACGTGATAGCACCAAAGGCCTGATGGAATGACTCGCCCTGGGAGCGGAGATAAAGAACCCACTGCTCTTGTTCAAGGAGATGAGTGCGAAGTTTCTCAAACGGGAAATTGTCAGGGAATAGTGAGACAGTGGTGAACATACATTCATACTCGTAATCCCAACCCATAATAGTAGTCTTGAGCACTTCGCGAGGGGGAA